AAACCGACTGGACAGAAGGCATTCAACCTCGGCTACACAGCTATGCAGACGAGGCCATTTGCTCCACGTAATTTAGCCAATTTTAAGAAAAGCTTAAAGGTCTGGATTTAGTTTTGCCGATTTTAAGGCACCCCCACACTGCCGTTTTGGACGCCCCACGGTTTGCCAGATATGAGATCAGTTATCAGGTCAAACCAACAGGTGTTGCAGCAATGGAAGCGGGCAAGAGAACTGGTTCAGATAGAAGTGATTGTACCCGACCTAAAAAGCCTCTGCATGTTTCTACTAAGCTCCACGAGCAGAAACGTGCTCAAACTAGGATCAATATTACCTAACCCTAACCCTAACCCTAACCCTAACCCCTAACCCTTTACAGGTTATCTGGCTGACACAGCAGAGTAATGGCTATAAAGCATTTTATCATAGCTTAGTAGGTTTTCCTCTTTAACAGTGGACACATTTACAGTGTTTTAATCAAGGAAACATGTCGTGCAGAACATGGGTGATGCTTCAATCCCAAGTGGCTGTTGCTCCATCCATGTTAATACACTGTCTGTTTGAAGCAAACAGAACAACATCATCTGCATAGAAGAGAGGCGAGACTCTGAGGTCCCAAAAGCTGACAATCTCCTCTCTGGAAATGTACAGTAGCTGAACAAAGAGGACACACAGGAACAGTCCAAGACGAGTAAAAGATTTATTTCACATTTTTTTCTTTTTAAATATCACCAGCTTTGCTTGAGGAATCAAGGACAAGAAATAATTGGTCACGGGGAATGTTACAGAGGTTCAAATGCACAAAAAGACAAGAAGAAGAACAGTCTCAGGTCTGAAGGAAACAATGAAGATCGGAGGAGTGACGGTGCATTTTTTTCCTGCTGATGGTGAAAAAGTGTAAGGACGGACAGAGTGTGCTGGCTTTGTTTGATCACTGGAGGGAGGAAAACGGTTGCAATGTGAGAGCGACATCTTTTTCCAGTTGTGATTTCTTTGAGTCGGTCAGTTAGCGCTGAGAGAACGGGCGTGCATGTGCCGATCGAACAGATGAGATGGTCGAAGGTAAAGATCACACAGGGTGGAGTTTTAGCAGCAAGAGAAGAAAACGCACGAAAAAGAAGAGACGAGAATCACTACCATCACAACACCAGACACAAACAAACACATAGTGGAGATCTGCAGATCGATCTAACGGACTGAGCTTGATTATTCACGGCTGATACACAGTTTAATTTCTGCCAACTTTTCTGGACAGGATCTCAATGATTTCATTAACACATTAACATTTTCTGCTTCGAGCTTCTGAAAATATTTTCTGCTTTTCTGATGACGGCCAATAAGGGGGTTGGGTTTGTTATTTTTAGTAGGTGATACGCTTTCTGCTTTCAGATGTTTAATTATAGAAAAAGTTTAACACCTTCAGGACAAAATTGTTGTCGCTTTGGGTGACATTATGGTGTAAATAAACCACTTGGGAACCCGTTAGAAGAACAGCTATTTAAGAGTTAAATCAGTGTTCAGTGCTGATAAAAATCAGAAGACGCTTTTTTAAAAAAAATCAATTATTTTTAGGGGTCAGAGAGTCACACAGGCACTTGAGAGAAAGACAAAAACACTACGACTTCCATTAAGGCACGACAGATAGCTACACTCACACACACACACACACACACACACACACACACACAAATCTTTGGGATGTAAGCGGCATGATTCTCTCAGCGAGCTCCACACACACTACGCAGCGCTTCAAATAGACACACAAACAAATCTTAGACTCGACCATGTGGATGTTCTTTTTTTTTAAGTTTATCTATGTTAAAACTTTTGATTTCCATAAACTAACAACGCTTGAGAAAATTATTGGTATCTTCAAATCACTATGGATGCTGTTCAGGTGTTTGTGTCTTTAATAAGGTTGACAAATTGCTCGATACTTTTTAACACCACAGGTTTTCAAATGATTCAGTCTCTGGTTTTCAAATGATAGATGGTATAAACAAGTACAGAAGCTTGAAATAAATCCCCAATCTTCAGTCATTTTAAACTAAAAGCTGTCAGAGCTACAAAAAATTAAGTGAAGAGAGAGCACTGTTTAAATTGCACAAATAGGTTGGCAATGTTTTAAGGTTCAGAAATATGCCAACATATTTGCACGATGTAGACAGTGTGCAGGAGTTACCTGCAATTTGGGTCATTTAAAAACAAGAGCTGACCCTGTTTTAGGTCTTTTTGATGCCATGTTTTTGAAACAGATATCAATATGGTTCGATTTTCACTAGAATCACACTGAATTTAAAACCGCTGTGCATGCTTGTTGGAGATGTTGCACCTCTAAAACCAGTCACTCTGATTATTATGCATGTTTGTTTTTTTAAGTTCTTCAGGGCGCTCTCACACTAGGCAACCTGTACCGTGCCTAAGCACCCTTCACCCCTAAAGTCAAGTTAGTTGACTAGTGTGAGTGCTCCGATTCATGCTCAAGCACGGTACACTTCCTTGGCCTTGGCACGCTTGGAAGAGGTGTGCTTTGGCACGGAGCACAAGCACGGGTACACAATGAGGACAGCCTTCATTAATTAAGAGTGTCTTTATCATACTATTTGTTATTTTTGTATATATTTTCTAAAACCTTTTATACTTAGCTTGCACCGTGGTTCAGAGAAAAACGTTTTTTCGATTTTTCTGTATGTCCTGCAAGTATGAAAAATTGACAATAAAGATGACATTGACTTTGACTTATGGCTGTATTTCTTAATGTGAACTATTGCCACTATACCAGATTTTTAACTTCAGATATGACTCTATTAAAAAAACTTATTCTGTAAATGTCAAAGATAAAACTGTAGACACTTCTAATTATCTGTCAGTTATACATCATTTTCTACCACTGCCATCACCAACAGTCATTATCTATACTCTTCAATAATCACAGAATGAAGCCTCTTTGCTTCCCTGGTCTCAAGGAAACACAGAGGTACACTTCAGACATTTGCAAATTGTCAACATGGCAACAAAATTAAAATTATAAATGTGATGTGGTGAGAAAAAGTTAGAGACTGTATATTAGCACAAGCGTAATTGAAAGTATAATAAAGAGTAAGCTCAGGATTTGTGTAAATGATTAGCACAAAGTTATGATGTAATGACTTCTCAAGGCTCTTTACTTAAATTAAAAATGGCTTCCATGAATAACGAGGTTAAACAAGAAACAGCTGTCCCAACTGATCGTAACAAAGCGACAAATAGTTTGTTATCGAGAGTGATTTAAATACATTCAAATGCTTCCTTTACATGTCAAACTAACAAACAGAGCAGCTCAGTCACACTTTAATTCATCTGAAATCAAATTTATGATTTAAGAATTAAAACTTCTGTAGCTTATTGTCAACAAATCCCACGACAACCAAAAATGAATCGCTCTGTCGGTGAAAGCAAGGGACAAATATGAAGAAGGGTCTAAAACTTCAAACAGCCGAGCACGATGTTTGTTAGAAACAAACAAACAAACAAACACAAACGTGGGTCAAAAGAGAATTTGTTGAGGACGTTTTTTTTCAGCCGAGGCTCTGCAGCACGAGTGAGTAATCTCTGGCACGAGGGCGGAGCTGATTTATTTAAAATAAACAGCAGCGATGGTGATTTGTATATGTTGCCCCCTGGAGGCGAATGTATGATTCATGGATTTATAAATAAAACTGAGCTGACTTGATGCGTCCACACAAGTTGAAAATGTTTCCACTTGAGCGAAAGACTGGAGAATTTTCCCGAGGCGCCATGACTCCAGATTCATAATTATACGGAGAGACGAACGCAAAGAGAGAGAAAATGACAGAAAGAGCTCGACGTCCTGCTGGGTGTTTAGATCAAATACAACTGAACACACACATATACACACAGCCCGAAGATCGAGGGTTTGATCACCAGCTCCTGTCCGATGTGTCCTTGGGCAGGACACTTAACCCCGAACTGCTCCCGCTGCTTCATCGGCATCCGTAAAATTTGAATATCTGAGGAAAAGTATTTACTTTCAGCTGACTGAGAGTAGACTTTATTCTCTGCAGGTTAACATGATTTTTTAAATGAGTGCTGTTGCCTCAAAGCAAGGAGGTTCCCGGTTCGAATCCCTCTCTGTGTGGAGTTTGCATGTTCTCGCCGTGCATGTGTGGGTTCTCTCCGGGTACTCCGGCTTCCTCCCACAGTCCAAAGACTTGCTCGTTAGGTTAACTGGTGACTCTAAATTGCCTGTAGGTGTGAATGTGAGTGTGGCTGGTGAACAATCCAGGGTGTAATTCCGCCTCTTGCCCAATGACAGCTGGGATCTGCTCCAGCCTGTATAGATGATGGATGCATGTTTAAATGCAAAACTGAAAAAAACCTTCCTTTTCTCATTTAATTTATGTCCTCCATGTAGAACATTTATGAAGTATTTTATGCACATTTGGTCTTTTTTTTTAATCATTTCCAACAACAGAGGTCTCTGACAAAAACAACAACAAGATAAATCAGGCTTTAGTCGAACAGAAAACACTCAATCTAAAAAGCAGTTGATATCATTGTCGGCTGTGTTCTTTGCATGGGATTTGTTAAAAAATAAGTGAAACAGAAGTTTTTCAGTCTAAAAGTTGAAATCTGCTCTGTGTGATTTAGTGATTTAGCACAGCTCGGCTTTTTATTCTGATGTTTCACCATGAGTCATCAAACAGCTGCAGCCAGAACAAATCAGCACCTAAAATCAGAGGTAATAAGACGCACTGCAACACACACACACACACACACACACACACACACACACACACACACACACACGCTCACACACACGCTCACACACACACGCTCACTGAAGCGTGTGCACACAAACAAAGCTCACACACACACACACACACACACACACACACACACACACACACACACACACACACACACACACACACACACACACACACACACACAGAAAGCATGATGAGTTAATAAACTCACATGGAATCATGGACGTGAATGTCATTGGCAATGTATGCAATATCAACACTAATAGATTATTTATATAGATTTATATATTTTCTCTTTTTTTAAGAATTTCTTCTGTTGTTTTTTTCCTCATTGGTTTCTCAATCTGAATCTCAGATTTAAACCGTGGTGTGTGCAGTAGTGTTGTGTGGGAGCCGAACAGTCTGGTGTTTCTCATTAAAAACCTCCTGTACCCCCTCTACTCTGGAGAATGCACACATTGAGTACACAGGTACAGTGTCTGTTCAGATGTTCCTCCTGGAGGAGCAGAGGAGCGAGCCGACAGGTGAAGGGGGGCGTCATTTAACTCCGGGGGAGGAGCCCCTTCTTGTAGGCGAGCAGGCCGGCTGCGGAGGCAGCAGACAGGACGGTGGTGACTCCGAGGAACTTGAGGAGACCTCCAACTGAAGGCAGGTTTCTCTCCCAGAAGGAGGTGTGGAAGGGGAGCGCCGGGACCTCCTGATGCAGGACAACATGAGGAGTTTGTTTCAGTTATTTGACCTTCAGGTTTAGTTTATTTTAAATGATTTAGAAAGATTTCTCTCACCACACTCTCAGGCTCCGTCTGCCAGATCTGACTCGGGGAGATTTTCTTCATGGCACACAGGATCTGCAACAAATCGTCTTTGTTGATCAGTGTGGACACTTAAGTCAGGATTTAAATCATTTATTCAGCAGTAGAGTTTCGCTGGGTCATCCTCCTTTAAAAAAATAGATCCCTCTCTGCTCAATTTCCCTGAACTCACAAACTTAAAAAACTCTCCTGAAACCAAAACTAATCCAGAGTTGAAGAAACAAATGAGCCTGCCCTAAAAAGGCAATAATGCTGTATTTTATTTTAAATTACAAATGCTGCAGGCACAGAAATATATTCATTCTAAGAACTCGATAGAGAAGGGACTTCTGTGGCCATAATTTTTCTTTTCTTTTTTTGATGCCAATTCTCAATAATTCTTTCTTGAATAACTCTCAGTATGTAGAAGTTGTTCATGCAAGCAGAAATGATTTTTGTAGGTTTTCCTGGTTGAGTATGCTCTGACCTCTCTGGCTGCTCTCTCTCCGGCCTGCACGGCTCCCTCCATGTAGCCGCTCCACTCTGTGGCCGTTTCTGTTCCTGCAAAGTACAACCTGCCCACCGGCTCCCTCAGCACCCTGCACGCACAGGACGGAGAACAACACAGGTTAAAGAGTTAAATTATGCTTGGTGTTAAAGCCTTTATGTTGGTGATGAGGTACATCTGGAGTGTTCCAGTCTTTTCTTGGTTTTGCCGTGCGTTCAAACTTAGCATTTAAACTTTTACTTGTGTGTGTGTTTTACCTTCCATACTGGGTGAGGATGCCTGGGGGGAAGTAGGCCGTGTAGCAGCCCCCCGAGTACTCCTCCTCACACCAGTTCTTCTCCTCGTAGTGCACCGGCTGAGAAAGACATTTCAAACATTTAAATACATTCTTCTTAATGAATACAAATATGTTTCTGGATTCAAAGATCACCTCATCCTCATTGCAACATCATCACATGCCTATACAGTTTTACAGCTCTGTTTTTACAGATGTGTGTGTGTGTGTGTGTGTGTGTGTGTGTGTGTGCGTGCTTGTGTTTCAGTCTGAATACACACTCACATGCAGAGCCGCCTCTGAGCCCAGAACTTTGGAGTAGATCTCACAGATCTTATTCTTCCTGCACGAGACACCAGAGTGAGTTAGAGCTGCAGCAGAGCTGGCAGAGTTTTAATGTGACGTGTTTGTGCAGTTACCTCTCCTCTTTGGTCAGGCCTGAGAGCTTCCTGCATTTACGAGCCAGGATGAATCTGCAGGAGAGGGGGAGCAGAAATATTATCCAGTGAAAAAAAACACATTACATTGATGCACAACAGGAGCAGATGTGCACACACTTGGTGCACTTTTAGTTTTTCCATCATTATACTTCAGAAATGAGAGCTCTTCCAACTCTGTGGCCTAAATTCTGGGGGGCCTTTTCCTGTTTCAACATTCAATACAGCATGCCTGAAACCAGATCCGTATATTTGTGTTTATTTAACCAGGAGTAGAAGCCTTGTTGAGATTAACCATTACAAGTCTGAATTAGAAATGCAATGCCTGTGTTTGTATTTATACTTCAGCAGTGTTTCCCCCAGGTTTACAGCTTCGGGGGGGTGGGGAGGTGCGGGCAGACGGACGCCGACACAAACACTTGAAGGAATCTTGGTGTTCATGGGTTACTTTTAATGACAGCTGTCCTGTTCTATCGGAAAGGTATCCTTAAATGACTTCTTTCCCTGATTTCCAACTCCATCCACTATCCTATCTCTACAATAAATGCAAAAAAAGCCCAAAATTAAATCTTACATTTAAAAAAAATATATATATTAACTTGACCTTCAAGGGGGCCGGGGGGGACTGTTGGGGATGTGGGCCGCCCCCATAATATAATGGTAGGGGAAACACTGTTCAGGTTAGGTTACATCTTCAAATGTTTACTGTTTACAAGCCTAAAGTTTTCTGTTTTTGGATAAATTAAAACAAGATTACACAAACAGTGTTATGCTGACAGTCTGTGGATACTGTTCTGCATTCCTTGTAAAAAGAGTGGAACTGAAGCTGTTGTGGTTTCATTTGAAGTCAAGTTGATAGGTTATGCAAACAGTGGTGATTTGTTAGTGCTTAAAACTGTTTCTATTGGGAAACAAATTGTATTATATTGTATGTATAATGTCTTCATTTGGAACTTATACGCTCTGGGGAAATTATTCAAAGTGACAATACGGAGGCAAAGGAAGTGTCATGTTTTTAATCACCCCATGATGGCGGGGACAGTCCCATCCGGCTTTGTGTCATCGAGTGTCAGGCCGATCGGCGCTCCTTCCTCCTCGATCACCATGCTGCCGCAGTAACCTGCAGACACACAGGGGTACGATCATGTCAAATCAGACTTTTCCAAACTTCACACACATCACATTTAGTCCTCCTGTGCACCTTTATTCCTCCAGAAGTTCTCTCTGTAGTACATCATGCACTTGATGACGGAGCCCATGGGGACGCGGCTGATCAGCTGGTTCCTGAGTGGGGGCAGCTCGGGGTTAAAGTGCATCTTCATGTTCAGACCAGGGGGCGTGGCCAAGATCACGTACTTAGCCTATGACAAAGACGTACAGGTACAAAAAAAGAGAGAGATAGTGTGATAGGGAGAGAGAGAGGATAGAAACACAATCAGGACAGAGTGAGCGGCATCACACTCAGCAACCAGCAGAGGGCAGCAGAGAACTATTTTGCCAGCAGCAAGAGTAGCATGCTTTCTTTTGGCTTAGATCGTGCATTATCAGCACAACATTAGGTCACATGTAAAGCCACATATGTGATGATAACTAAAATAATAATACAGTCATATTAACTATTATGACTGCAGCGATGAAAGAAGAACTCAGAGTTTGTTAGAAGTACCGATAAAGTTGTCATTTATTTTGTTTATCTTACAGTGTAGGTCTGTTTGTCGAGAGTCTCCACCACCACCATGTCCCCGCTGTGGTCGATCCTGTAGACCGGAGACTCCAGCTTCACCCGCTCTCCCAGCTCCCGGGCCATGCACTCGCTGATCTGACTTGAGCCGCCAGAAAACTTCCTCTCCTGCATGTGAATAGACAGGACAGAGAGCTCAGAGGTCCAGCAGGACTAGAGGGGTCTTACTTTAACTTTTGATGTTCTATCCCAAAGATGTTTTTGATTTATTTCTTGTAAAATTGCTTCACGCCGCGCTGATCCCGCTCGGAGTGTGACTCCAGCAGGCTAATAAAACCCACATGACAGAGGCGAGCTGATAGAATCTGTTGATTAATTCGGGTTTTACGCCTTCACCTCCTTCATCTGCTTCTATTTGCTTGACTACAAATTCATGAACATGTGAAACCAAAGGAAAGAATGTGCTTGTGAAATTGCAGCTCATGCAGAGTGATTGAGGACTGAGGGGGCGGAGAGACATTAAGCGCTGCCAAAGCTCTTAAACACAAAATGAAATGAACAGTGACCTTTTCCATACGGTGAGTGTCAGCGTCTCGCCGCTTCCCCATCACAAACACATTGCGAGTGTTCCTCTTTGGCATTTGGACAAATTTGGCTGCCAGTCCACAGACATCACAAGCTAAATCGAAATCAGTCCCGGCGGTGACACAGGACGAGCCGCTGTTTGTCTTCTTTGATTAAAGACAATTTTTATTTTTCAGTGGAAACACTGAAAGAATACCAAACAGCATCCATCGTTTGTATTGCATCCAACTCGAAGTATTTGAGTCTTTAACATTCATAAAACATTAAGACGCTGAAGATAGAATTCTTTGTTTCAGGTTGCAAAAAGAACAAATGCTCCAGCTTTTGTAGTCTTTACTTCAGACTGCTTTAAACAGGATCATGTGAACTGGTTCCTGTTGATGCTTTGATCAAAGGGTTAAACAGAAAACTGTACACATACCCATACACGCAGCCCAAGAAACAGCAGAAGATGTTTTAAACAGGAAGGTCCAGCAAACAGGACAGAGTGTCTGTTTACCTAAACAACTCCCCTTTCCTCCGTGGCCATGGCAACAGGAACACTCAGCTTTGGAAAGCCCTCCAAGAAAACAGCTTTTGTCAGGCTCATAATGATGCAGAGCTGACCAGCAGCAGACTAAAGGTAAACGCGTTAGAGCTGATTTACGGCGCTGTGGGATGTGACTGATTCTTCTTGGCCGGCCTCTTCTGCACTGCAGGGATCGTTTTCCCGCACAGAGACTTTCGGGGGGGGAAGCTGGGACATAATACTCAGATATTCTGTTTGTGCTGCGAGTTCAGCGAGGCCCAGGTAGAAATCATCATTTTGTCCTCAAATCTTTAAAACTGAATCTTATATCAAGCTTCGGTAGAGCTGCAAAAATCAGAGGCCTTATTCAGACTGCTGTTAAATATGCCCCAGCAGGTTCGCGCTGGTGGCGCAATGGTTAGGGCGCACGTTCCATGTATTGAGACTCTCCACTTCCCCTTTCCACATGTCATTCGCCGCTCTCTCTCCCTGGTTTCTGACTCTATCCACTGTCCTCTCTCTACATTAAAGGCACGAAAAGCCCAAAAATAAATCTTTAAAAAAAAAATATGCCCCAGTGACGTTTCACCTCTAATCTGAATATTGCAGAGTAATGGAGGAACAATGTGATCCCCCCTCTGTACCGTCTTTGGAAGTAGTAACAGAAGCGTTACAGAGGCCAGATGGGATTAGTAACAGTAACCCAGTAAGGAGAACCAATATTACACCTTCCCAGAATTAAGATAATGTCCAAAGAAGGGTGAGATCCCATCTCATATATCGTCTCTGTTCAAAATAAGATAGGGAGCAGGACTGTGTCTCCAAACAAGCAAGGCATCTCTCATGTACTGGTACAGAGACAGAAGCTGCAGACGTACCTGTCCTCCGTTTGAGGTGGAGAAGATCCTCATGGTTCCCCCGCACTGTTTCACATACCAGAGGAACCACAGGGCCGACACCTCGTGGGGTTCAGAGGTCACATTCACGTTGATAAACAGGGTGGCAAAGCGAAGAACAGCCCTTAAAAAAGACAGTACATAATTAGTCAAAAATGTATTTCCATATCACTACTGCAAAGTTATTCTAAAGGCAAAAAATGGAAAATACCGTTTTATGTTATAAAATATGTAATTGAGATGCTGAGTAAGAGTTTCTAAGACACGGTTAAAATGGTTTCATCATGTCAGATGGAAAGTTATCTGACTCTCTTAACAACTATGTCTCTTCATATTCACTTTATTATGGTGTGCCTCAGGGGCCTGTAATGGGGCCATTTGCATTCTTTAATACCAGCTTTACCTTGGGCACAACATTCGCAGAAATGTCTCTTTTCTTTTTACACTGATGATACACTGATCTACCTGCCTGATGAATTTAGAGCCTCCAATGCCGAGTTTACTCAAGGATTGACTTTCTGATATCAAAGACTGGACGCTGAGAAAAACTCTTTAACTGAAGAAAAACACGACGGAGATCCTCGTCATCATGTTTTAAGCACATTGCACAAATAAATCTGATATGTGCTTCTTTCTTATCGAGCATATGAAGCCTGTTGCATGACATGTTGGCGTCTTGGTTCCTTGGTTGATAGACTGTCAGGCAAACTATCACCTTTGACCACCATAATGTCAATCATTCATTCTTGAGTCCAAGGGACATTTGTGCCAATTTGAAGGTCGTAAATCGAGACAATCCTTAACTATTCCTTCAGAAGCAATCAGATGCTGTTATGTCTACAGCTCAGGAATCATCGAGGCAGAGAGCTTAAAAATGGCCTGCACAATGCTCTCTAGTTAGGCAGGAAAAGTCATATGATCTCCTAATTTCTCCTCTACCTGGTCCAGCAGATTTTCTCAAAGAGCTCCAGCATGGTCATCTTGTCCCACTCCTCAGCATGAGGAGCTTTCCAGGGAGCCTCTCTGGGAATCTGAAACACAGGCAAACAACAAAACATTTAGATTTCATGGAGCAGAGTCAAAACAAAAGTCCAAAACGGATCCTTTCTTTTACCTCCTTGCCCATCTCGTCCATCGTCCTGAACAGGTTGTTGAAGTCCAACATGACGATGGGGTTCCAGATCGGAGGGAAGGAGCCTTTGAACGGGTACGACTTTCCCTGTTGGATACAAAGCATCATTAAACTCAGATTCTTTTTATAACCATCAGTTGCTCACATTGTGTAGTCATGCTTTCTAACGTTGCATTAAGTCAGCACAAGTCAGTTTTTTCATTTTATAGAGATTGGCTGCTTTGGTTTAATATTTTAGATAGTTTATTTCCCGATCAGACACGGAGCAAAGAGGATGTGGGTTCAAAACATCCTAGGTGGCAAAACTACTACTGACAGATGTTTGTAGGATTACAGATGTTCCTGAGTGCATGTGTGAAAACAGCTACTTTTTCATACACAGAGACAATCCAAAGTAATTCACCCCAGCCATAAAGTAAAATAACAATTCAGTTAAAGTGAAAACCAATCTGCATGTATACTTTACTCCAAAAAAGCCAAGAATTATGAAAGAAGCCGTAAAGAATTATTAACTCTAATACTGAACTGAACTTTCTCATCAGGTTTTGTGGCCTAAAAACGTTTTCTGACCGTTAAGTGAGGATGACAGTGAACATGTTTGTATTTGCCTTTAAAAAAATCCACCTGGGTTCACCTTTAATTTGCTTAGTCACTCTGACTGTGAACTTTATTCTCCAGCTCTTTTTATTGCAGTGTTTAACAGCTGATTTAAAGACTGATAAGCACGTCAACAATGCTCTCTGACACTCTTTTTTAGAAACATCCTCTTATCTTATTATCAACAATGTGTCTCTGCTTGTGTGTTTCTTGGTGCAAAAATCCCCTGACGTTCAGCTTGTGAAGTGAAATATTTCAGAACATGAATCTCCTGACAGAAAGAAACAAAGACAGCTACACGTTTAGTGATGACTTTGTGTGAACGCCCTGGTTGTTCTGCTGCAGCTGCAGGATTTCTCAATGTCCTGCTGTTACACCAGTTCAGCCTCTTATCTAGCTTTTGTCTCACCATAACTAGATAAAACCATGAAAACTAGAATTGTATTTCCTCCTAAAAGGTCTTTGAATGCAGCATTTAGTCTGACATTTTCCACACTGTTATCTGTACAGATCATTGGCAATTAGCAAGTTCCCTCAACTATCATATTGTTAATTCCTGTATATATTTATATTATATTTGTTGGTGACAAAATGCCTGTTAAATAAGATTTTCTATTGTACTTGTAATTCCAACACTGAACACTAGGTGGAGTCTTGGCTTATGCTGTGCATAAAGCCTAGCGTGCATTAGACTGGAGCCAGCTGTGTTTTTGGGAGCATTGTACATTAGTTTTGTTGCACCGACCAGAACATTGTCCAAATTTGTTCAGACTTATCACTCGTGACCTTTTAAAGGAAAATTATTATGCTAAACACACTTCACCATGTTTCTCTAACACTAATATGTGTCTCTAGTTTGTCAGCAAACCCCCCAATGATGAGAAAAGTCCATCCTCTGTGTCTTTTGCCTGCTCCACTTTTCAGAAAATGTGTGGTCAAACAGGCCGTTTGGAGATTTTCCCTTCATGCCATCACAAAGGGCAGTAACCCCTACCCCAGGTAGGTGACACTCCCACAGCTAGGTGTTTGTTCTGCCCTCTGAGTCTGCCTTTTCACCGTGAACAAACATTAACAATAGTACTTTTACAACATGCAATAATATCTTCTACTATATGGCGTGTTTAGTCTTAGTTTTCGGAGGAAGGAGCTGCAGGGTTCGGTTAAAATCAGAAACAGAAAAAATGTTTTCTATTAAACCTTTAAATATGCTGATTCTTTCTCTCTTTATTGACTCGTGTTTTCGTCTGTGATGGAGGTTTCCAGTTTTTTGCCATTATTAGAGAGGGCAGCTGAAGAGAGACAGGAAGTGTTGGGAGGAGGGAGTGAGGTGTGACATGCAGCAAAGGGCCGAGGTCGGATTCAAACCCACTGCAGCTGCCATGATGACTACAGCCTCCGGACATGGGGCCCCCATCATAACTGAGAGGCTACCCGGCGCCCCTCCAATTTATTTCTGTTGGTTTTGTTGGCTGTCAGACTTGAAGAAGATTTAAAAACAACGCAAGCCTTCAGTGATTTCACATCTTTCTTCATCTGACATCACATTTCAAACTGTTTCAAAGAAAACACTTATAGATGCAACTCTTGTTGTATAAAAATAAACGCAGTAAAGAGAGATTTTCTGTCAGCGCTGCGACACCTTTCTGTGTTTGAAGGGTGAAAATATAGTTCAGAAATCAGCTGCAATGTTTTCATCAGAGATGTGTTTACACTGAGTCAGAGACACATCAGATTGTGTTTACCATAAATCAACGGGAAAGGGAGTCTTTTGGTGCTGAAAATAGCTTTTTAAATAATCCAATCTAAATTTAGATTCTGGTCCTAAATGGTCTGGATTTGTTTGGACCAGAGAAGATAGGCGGTTTTAAGGCACCCCCACACGGCTGTTGTGGATGCCCCTCGGTTTGCCAGATATGAGAGCAGTTATCAGGTCAAACCAACAGGTGTTGCAGTGATGGAAGTGGGCAAGAGAACTGGTTCAGATAGAAGTGATTGTACCTGACCTAAAAAGTCTCTGCATGTTTCTAATAAGCTCCACGAGCAGAAATGTGCTCAAACTAGGATCAATATTGGAGATGCTTTTGATAATGGTTCACTTTATGGCTGCCTCAGTCAATTCGGCCTGTCTCGTCTTCAACTTGTACAAAATGAAGCAGCCTGACTTTTAACAAGGTCATATCACAGATCCCATACTACACCAATTTTAGCGTGACTGCCCGGAAGCCCATCACATTTTAAATTGATTTCTAAGATACTTTGAAAATTTAAAAAGGCTTGGACCCTGTTTATATTGTTTTAAAAATTCTTTGAACTTTGGCTTTAAGATAATCTTCACCTTCTACTCTGTATGTTGGACTGAGTCTATGTGTGATTTTATTTATGTTTTGAATCTAACTTTGGGGTACATCTCCCCCTGTTCTAATCATTTTTATTCTAATTTGTATTTTATCATGCCGTGCTATTTTTTATTTGTTTTGTTGTTGTTGGTTTTAGAAAGGCGCAATAGAAACATAATTCATTATTATTTACTATTAAAAAAAATTCTGAATCTAAATTTAAATGTATTCTAGCAGTATTGCCTTGGGGAATAAAACATTGTGATTGAAACATCTTTGTGATCTACTGCCAGAAAACTGCCATCTATCTAAAGTCTAAGGACACCTGATGTTACAGGCCACCAGTACAAGGCAGTAAGTCTTAGTGATACAGTTTATTTTTTGAGTTGAGCAACAGAAAACATTTGTACATACAGTTTCTCTGATTTATATCCCTCTGCAAGTCCTGCAGAGAACTCAGAATACTGAGACTTAAAACAGAAGTATATCTGTGTGTCGTCTGCATAGCATCAAAACAAACTACCACGATTATTAATGAAAACAATCAAGGGGGAACTAAACTGACCAGAACGCACACACACAGAGACAGACGGATGATTGAGCATCTCCCTAATGTACAGCATCAGAACTGTCCGTTGCCGTGAAACAACAGGTCTGTCGCCATGGTGATGCTGCTCAAGTGAATGGGGGGGGGGGGGGGGGGCAGAGGAAGAGGAGAAGGGGGGAGGCAGCAGGAAGAGGGGAGAAAGCAGCATCTGTTTCCACATCAGTGAGCGATGATTCAACCTCACTCTGAGGAGAAAGTGTTAAAAGAGACACAGTCCTCCTTTTTCTGTTTTCTACTTTAATTAAACACTTAGTTGACCTTAAATGTATGTGCTCATGATCTGTACTCCAGCTAAATCCAACATGTCTCTCTTCACCGTCTACAGGCTTTATTTTCTTCTCTTGGGTCGTAAAGCCCCGCAGCTCTGTGCAGGTTTCTTCAGGCCAAAAGCAAGCACACTGCATAAGAATGAATATAAAAAAAATGATGGAAATTTTCACCACAATGTTTCAGAAAGACTGGCAGTGTCAAAACCCTCCTGATGAGCTGAACTTGCATCAGAATATGTTCACCAAACACCAAAAAAATCAAGCAATTTAAAAGTTGTTTGCTTGTCGTCTTGCAGACAAACATCATCATGCATCATGAAATAGTTATATCAGCATCCTTCCAGCCTGTTAGTTTTATTTAAATCAAAGTAAAGTCTGTTTGTTTTGGGTTCATTCTCTGCATACATTAGCCGATCCATCCATCCAACCAAATCCTGGAACTGATCCTAGATAACAGATCATCAAACTGGGACGAAAATCAGGTCTATCCTGTGTAAATCTCTCTGAGTCATGACTGTCTATAATGAGTGAGAAGCTCGAGTCCCGCTGGCTGTGTTGTTGTCAGAGCCGTGTTTACATGGACGGGACGGCCGGCTCCTCCCCTTGTGTATAAAAGCTGTTTTAGTCAAGGACTAGAGAGAAGAAGAAGAACATACTCACTGATTATTTTGATGTCATGTAAGCATCTTTAGATCACGTTCATTCTGTGTCAATTTACATTCAATGTGAAGCTACGAGCTAACTAAAGACCGCTAACATTAGCCTGCTAACACAACAATGCAGAACACAGGTGACTGCAGCTCGAGTCAAAGACAATTTTTTCCGCTGCTTGTGTCAACTCCTTCCTGCAAACGCGACTGGAGAGGGGTTGGAGGTTTGTCTCTGGAGGTTTGTCTCTGGAGGAGAGCGGAGGCTTCAATATGGCAGAGATGTCACCAAAGCCCAGTTTGTTTTGGTTTCATGCTGGTGCTCAAGGGCGACATCTACTGGATCAAGAAGTCGCACATTCTTCCTTCAGTAAAATGTCAAAAAATGATCAATCACAAGGCAACAGATTAGGTTATCCTACAGCAGCTGAAAAGCCAGAAGGAGAAGGTGGAGACCAAATTGAAGCTAATAGGAGAGTGAAACTTTGACCTACATTCACTTAAAGCCCAAGAACATGGCATTAGATGGTTTGCATCTGCTGGATGGGCGAGTCTCTCTCTTGAGGACACTTACAGACCTTTGTTTTTTTTATTGCATTATAAATCCACAAAGACAGATGAGGTTCATAAGAGCGCATCAATAAAAGCATTAAGAGCTACATGATAGATTCTTTAACAATCTCTTTAGTCTCTCAGATGACCCGTAAACGTGCAAACTGTCAGGACATCCACCGTGCTGCCAGCGCCATGGGACAATCCCACGCTCCCTCAATCTCTGATAAGAGCTCAGTATTTAATCAAAGTCTGTTTTCCCATCTCTGATAGTGATAGCTCATTAATAAATCCTGTGCTGAGAGCTGCAGCTGTCTGTTAGGCAGCAGTTTGCTGATAAGGGAAACCAGCGCTGGCCCTTTGGATTACAATCTGACAAACAAAAGCTGATTAGCTACGCGGCTTGCTTGAAAGCTAGCTCTAATAACACAATGGCTTGGCTCACATGCTGATTTACTATTAGCTGCTGTCCTGTGAAGTAATGTAAACACTCTCGTGTAATGTGATCAATGCACAGGAATAAATAACCATTTTTACCTCAGGGTAAACACAAGCCAGTCTTTGGCCATACTTTAGAATAGAAGTTTTTCTTTTCTAAACTACATAGGACAAAATGAGATGACATAACTTTGTGCCCACCCTGTCCTTTGTCAGTCCTCTGCAGGATGAATACCTGAGTTGAAATGTCTTAAATCCAGTCTAGTCTTTGATGGAAGATGTAGCTAACTCTAATGTCTCTGCAGGTTTTTGACAATTGCAATTATTATCTGGTTCCCTTAGCCCTCCTCTCTTCCCGAATGGTTAACAGATAAGCTTCTGTCTCCTTTTGTTTTTCCTGGGTCTCACTATCTGTCTTTCTACACTGCAGCCAGGCTGCAGGCTCCACAGTGGAACCTGTTGTCCCTTAATGCACCAAGAGGCATTAGCCTTACATCTAGCTTTAAAAGGCTTCGGCTGCAGAGACAAAATATAAAACCAATCTGGCCACATTTATGAATTGGAAGCTACTTTGACGTCTGAGAGTTTGGCCGGGTTTCAACATTTTTGGTGAATTTTGCAGAGTCAGCTGTGGGATCAGTGACACCAGAGCTGCTCTTACAAATGCTTAATACATACAAACAATCAGAGACAAAAACACTGTCTGACAACGGTAGGGCTGAGCAGCTTTTGATGAGGCCTGCTGCCATAGAAACCGGCCAGGAAGCTACGAGAGGTGTGTGTGTGTTTGTGTGTGTGTGTGTGTGTCTTGGAGTGGATCTTACAGAGATAGTAGCTAAGGAGACACACACACACACACACACACACACACACACAGGAGCTCCCACACATGATGAGCTCACAGTCTGTCCAGTTATTCCCTCACCAAACCACAGATTTATTTTCTAGCTGCTGTGGGAGCCGAACGTTTTGCTGGTGACATTTCACAGCGCTGTGGAAGTAGGTCATGTCAATAGTGCAGCACTGCCAAGCGACACCATGGTGAGATGGCTGGCACACCGAAGAGTCAAACTGCAAAACAGGGGCCTCAAAAGGACAGAAGGAATATCAAGCAAACCAAAACTCAGAGCATATGATACTGTGAACCCTTACCCCCCTCAGAAAACAGAGGTGTGTATGTGCACACTTCAGATCTGCTACACTACATTTTCCTTTGAAACTGAACGCTTCCATTAATGGTAAATAGACTTGAGCTTGTGCAGAGCTTTTCTAGTCTTCTGACTACTCAAAGCGCTTTTACACAGTAGATCACACCTATACATTCACACACTGATAGTAGAGGCTGCTGTGTAAAGAGTCCATCAGAAGTAACTAATCCCATTCATACACTGCCGACGAAGCAACTCAGGGTTAAGTGTCTTGCCCAAGGACACATCGGACATGTTGCTGCAGGAGCTGGGGATTGAACCCCTGACCTTCCAGTTGAGAGACGACCGACTCTACCAACTGGGCAACAGCCGCCCATTAAGTCCCTGAGGAGGCTTAAAGTTCCTCCTGAGCCATCTGCACAAAGTTATATGACATGAGTTGATTGCATGCCATGAGTTTTATTGCATGCCATGTTCTTTTCTCTTAACAAACACAGCAGAACTTATTGCTACAGTCACTTTCCTTCAACACCAGCGGTCAAACATTTGATTTCTGATGTTTACCTACTTCGACCATCTTCTCTGGTGTTGAAAAATGAAGCAAATGCAGAAGTGCATGAAACTGCAGTTCCTCGAGTGTCTCTTGAGCTGGTGGGAAGTGTGTGGTACTTTGCTCAAGGGCACCTCGGCAGTGCTCAGGAAGTGAACTGGCACCTTTCCAGCTACCAAACCAATTTCATCCGCACTGGGATTTGAAACGGCGACTCTTCGGTTCCCAACCCAAAGTCCCTAAAGACTGAGCCACTGCCCCCCTTCATTATTAACGCTCATTTTGAACTTGGTTATGAAAGAAAGTTGCATGGCGTTCAGTCTTTCTGTCTGTAAGAACATTTAAGGGCAGTTCAGGATGAACACCAGGTGTGCAATGAATCAATAACTCTGCTCCTGCAGTGGAAATCTCCTCTATAGGAAGCACAGGTCAATATTTACTGTGTACCTTTGAGTAATACTTATCAGCTTCTGTCTAATATACCCATAAAATGTAGTCAAGTTTCAATATCCTTGTTTAAATTAATATGAGAGTGTACCTATGTGATTTATGAGGCTGTTATGTGTCTGTAGCTTTAGATCAAGTGAAGACGGAGCTGTGTGTCTGACCCAAGGTTTCTATACAAAGCAGTAAAAGTGTGTTTGACTTTGTGCCCACACGCCCAACCAGGAGTTTAAAGTCCATCTGTGAAGGTAAGATTCACTGACTTGAACAGAGCTTGCGTTGAGATAAGCTCCATCATCAACACAAAAAACACACACACACACACACACACACACACACACACACACACACACACACACACACACACACACACACACACACACACACACACACACACACACACACACACACACACACACACACACACACACACACACACACACACACTATCAGGCAGTCCAGTGATTTAAAGAGGGGTTAGCATTAGCAGGGTACATGGCAGAAAAAGGAAATCAAATCAGGTAGAGCAAGACAGTGTTAAGGACAGCGGTGCACCAACAATAACAAGATGTGCAGGAGAGTACAATGAGAACAAAAATTAGCCCTATTCTGTCTTTGTTTGCTTCTGCTGCCCGTTCAAGCACTCAGAGAGAAGACAAACTGCATTACAGAAAACCCCTCAGGCTAAGATTAGCATCTCCATTCGCTAATGCTACAGAGGAGAAGGGTGGCCTGCTGCTCGGCAAACATGCAGGAGGACACAGAAACAATATAATGTTTGGTTCTCTGCAACAAAGTACAATGGACCTCTCTGAAAGAGTCAGAGGACCAAAGCGAACATAAAGACCCAAAAAATCTGCTAGACAGAAACATTTCCAAAGGCTACTATAAAGTGAGTTAAACAAACCCAGGGTTACCTTGCTTCACTGCTTTGATGGGCCTTCCAAAACCAGACCCAATCCCTTTGTTTTGTCTTTATGTTTTCTTTGTAAAATTTCCTTTAAAAAGCTAATAGTATGCCAATAACAAAGCTAATATTTAGCATACAGAGCCATTCAAAACAGAATGAACAGTGACTACCAAGGGAAGACAGAAGGGCTGCAAACCAACTTTTGTACCTTAGCAAAAGTAAACTTTGATGAGAAGCGTTCTGGAACCGAGGTCGTCGGTGCAGCCCGCCCAAAATAAAGGCTGTATGCTAAAGACATTGATTTAATGTTAAAGGATAATGGCTCAAACTGAGGATGTTTGAGTTCTCTTCAGGAAGAACAGATATAATGTCAGCCAAAGCCTGGGGAAGAGTATTACTCTGACATCACAAAAAGAACATGCATAGCTGCTGGAAACTCACGTTGACATAGTGCAGTAGGTTTTCCTCTTCGTTGACTTTGTAGGTCTTGATTCCGTATTCTTTGGCCAGTCGGAGGATGCGGTTCTGAGTTGGGCCGATGTAAGCTCCGCCCAGATCAACCCACTTTGTCTCCTTATTCTGAAAAAATATGGAGTACCACAAAGATCTATTCTGGGTCCACTCATTTTTTGTTTTTGTAAGTTGTCACTGTTAAATCATCCATATGTTAAGTATTGATTTAGCCCTTATGCAGATGACAAACGATTGTACATAGCTCCTGGTAAACACATCACTATTTAAGGAAACATAACTCTCCTTCATTGAAGAAACATTAAAGTAAAACAATTATATTCTTTCTCATTTTACTCCAAAAGATGCAAGGAATATTTAGCATGCTTCCATTTTAAGTTAGCTTGATTACTCAATGGACCTTTTACAGGTATCCCATGATTCTCTTGTTTTTGTTAGAGCTGTTAATCATTTTATTTCCTTTTGACATTTTAAAGCTCCTGTGAGGAAATTACCCGTTGCATGGTTTTTGCAACCCCTGTGGACAAAGCGGGGCACTTTGTCTCTTTGCTGATCCTGTCCTGTAAATGCTTCTGATGTTATCTGACATCTCAGATAAAGAAATCTCAGAATTATTTACTTTAAATGCGTGCTGTTAATCACACGTTTGACACCTACCCGGATGAGGGAGTGATGAGCATATCAAATCATTTTATAGAAATAATCCCTCCTCTCTTGGATAGCCTTGTTTGCGCTTGTAGCTCATATTGAGGCATCATTATTCATTTGAGTCTGTTTCATAACCTGATATAAAACCTGGAGCTAGAGCATGGGAGTTTTGCCTGCAAATATTCATTATATTCTTTATTCATTTGCAAACCAGTTTTAGCTGTATTATGGCTGAAAATGTTTCTATATAAATCAAGTTGTTATTACAGGTAAAACTCAAACCCTCGCAGTAGTGTGAGCTCATCTTACTCGGAAAGTGAAGGTGCGACCGCCGACTCGATCCCGGGCCTCCAGCACGACAGGGTTCAGTCCGCTTTCCTGCAACAGCTTCGCTGCACTCAAACCTGCAGACAGAAACATAAACAGAGGTTAGGTCAAATGCAATGCACTTCCTGTGCTCTCCATGGAAGGACCACACTCACATACTGCTTGTAGATGGTTGTCATGTGCTGTTGTGTAAAGATGTTTGATATATGAGTGTAGCTGAAGGGCTTTTTTGTCTTTAGATCTTATGACTAAGTGGCACTGCAGAAGCTTTTTCTGCAAGCTTTCATTGACTCTGTGTGCAGCCCTGCATACTAGAAATGTAATTTAAACACAACTAATTTCTAACCATAAATTTGTTGAAAATCTCATCGCCCTGACATAAATTAATAAATCGAATGCTCTGAAAAAAAAGTAAAATAAAGAACGTAGGTGTCTGTGGCTTTTGTTGAAAGAAACAAGTCTAAGTGGTAGCTTTTTTTTAAATTTATTTATTTTTGTGCCTTTAATGGAGAGATAGAACAGTGGATAGAGTCTGAAATCAGGGAGAGAGAAAGTAGAGAATGACATGCAGGAAAGGAGCCACAGGCTGGATTCGAACCTTGGCCCCCCGCTTGGAGGACCATGGCCTTCATACGTGGGGTGAGCGCACTAACCACTGCGCCACCAGCGCCCCAAGTGGTTGCTTATTGAGGCTGTATGACTTCTCAGTAAGGGCTCAAATACTTTTGAACGATGCGTTTGCATAGACAACATGTTGCGTCGTGAACGTAAATGTTCACATACTTGCCTTTGTACAATGTGTGTTACTGGAGGATTCCTCTAGAGGGATCACCACACAAATCAGACAGAGTAATAACACAGAAGAAGAGATGATCTGTCGCCAGCTATTATGGCACACATTGTTGGACACAATGCAGTGGCAATGACACATCATAGTGCGGGTCGTTGCAGTCTCGATCTGTTAACTTTTCTTCAGAACTTTCTGCCACTGTTGTAGCGCCTCTCATTTCAGATCTCATCACCATACAACTCTACGCTGCTCCTAGCGGTTAAATGTGCACTGCATCATTCTGAGGATGTGCACAACCAACGGTGCAAACCACCGCAGGATACGCGAGGCTGATGTCATGCGTTTGTGTACGCATAGCTAAAAGCAACTATACTCGAGGCTTAAGGTTTCTCTCAGGAGGAGATAGTTGAGAGGGATTATCTTGAAATATGATTGGAAAGATGAGGATCAGAACTGGATTTATTCGTAAAGAAACAAATCCTGTTTCTCTTTCCAACAATTGCTCCACTGTACACTTCAGAGTGTTTGTCTTGGATCTGTTACTCTTCTTGTTTTCCCCTTGAACTGTTCTTTTTTTCTTGCACAAAGATCTCTCCTGAAACAGGATTAAGAAAAGGATTATCCACCTAACATTTGCCTTTTCAGTGATTCGTCTGCATAAAGAGAATTATGGGGGAAACGGGGGAGAAGAGGAGGAGGGTTTTGTGCATGATGCATGCACTAAAGGTAGGGGGAGAGACTTCCAAAACAAACCAGCTGACCTACTAATCATGTGAGGAAACACAGAGGTCTGAGCGGAGAGAGGAGCCTCCGCTGACTGACTGACTGCAGAGCTTTTCACACACTGACCTCGGGCAATCCTTGTCATATCTGTGATTCAATAAGACATAACGTAAATGCACTTTGGCATGAAGAATCAAATGCAAAGGATTAGTGTGCAGCATATGGCTCAGCAACACTGCACTGTGTCAGAGCAGCAGACCTTTAAAAGCCCAGGAACCACAAACACAGAGAGAGAGAGAGAGAGAGAGAGAGAGAGAGAGAGAGAGAGAGAGAGAGAGAGAGAGAGAGAGATTTATATGAGACATGAACTGTTACTTAAAACATTTGTTCTGTATGTGGACACACAAACATCAACCTCAATCTCTTTTTTCTACACTGACATGTAGAATCTATAAATGTGCCGTAAAGACATGTGGGCTCCCATCTGTGGCAACCTGACATTGATTTAAAAATCCCTACAAATCAGGGGGTCTCCGACAAGTTGTAGGTTACAGACGTTTTTTCAGTAGTTCCCCAGGAGGATCAAAGACTGTGTCCAAAAAATCTGATGGCAAGAAATACACCTTGAAAGCCTCTTTACACTTCAAGTCATCAAATACCCAGGTGTTTCCCCTCCAAAATAATAGGACAGGCCTATCAGCTGTTTGTCAACATCAGAGGGTAACCAATACCAGCAATGAAGCAGCAAGGTTGCCTGTAACAGCCTGTAAAAAGTAAAAATTACAAAGGGAGGTCAGAATGATAATTTCTGCTGCATTCAAGGAAGTCAGGAAATCTAAACTCTTATTTTTGGCACAAGTGTAAAATCTATTGCTATCTTCACTTTTATGAAGATGCCTGATTATTAAGCCAGATAAATCATCATCATCAGTAGTCAGAACAGGCTGTTTCTGTGTCTGTACCTTTAAATGTAAATGAGCAGGGTCTGACCACGCCCCCTCTCTGGAAGGGCTTGGGTGTCTCTGGCTTTCTCGCTCCATGTCCTATTGTTTATGATGAGAAGGCAGACTCAGAGAGCAGAACAAACACCTAGCTGTGGGAGTGTCACCCACCTGGGGGAGGGGTTACTGCCCTTTGTGATGTCATGAAGGGGAAATCTCCAAACGGCCTGTTTGAGCACACATTTTCTGAAAAGTGGCAGAAGATGGAGAGGATGGACTTTTCTCATCATTGGGGGGTTTGTAGACAGACAGGGACACATATTCGAATAAGAGAAACATGGTGAAGTTTATTTAACAGAATATGAAGACAAGTTTGTTCTCTCTGCATGTTCCCACATCTGTGAAAATGTTTTCTTGGCCTACACCCTAAATTCCTGTCTTCCCCCCTCTTCCTCACGTCCTCTCCGTCCAAATCCTGCTGAGCGCTGCTCAAGCTCGCGAGGTTTATGTAAGTTTACACAAAGTTTGTCCTGAATTATCCAACTCCCTGTACAAACACACGCACACCCAGCCAGGCTCTGAGAAAGCATTAGCCCGGACCAGAGGAGGCTCACAAATCTTCCTCCGTTAAATTGATGCTATTACCTGCACTCAGCTTTGAAAGGTCAGTCTCTGTGTCTCAAACAAAGAGCGTCTGTCTGCGTCTTCTGTTTGTGCCCATAGCAATCACTGCAGAAACTACAGTCCTGATGGGACGCTGCTTTGATCACACTGCTTGTTTTCTTAATAGAGACGTCTCTTGTGAATAGAAAGCTGTATAAATATGACTAATGGATCAATTTAAACTGAAGGTATCGTCACTTCAAAAGCCTCAGACTGAGCTTTCCTCTGTTGTTAACTTCCGAGAGACAGAGGGACAGATTTAAATTCAGACCATGCAGCAACGAGATCATGAAACTCAGGGGATATGTTGGGAAATGACCGTTTCAAGTAAGAATGACTGTTTCAAACACACCTTGATATAGTACTCTATCAAAAGGACATTCCTGTATTTGTAACCTTGTCTCGACATGTAAGACCCTGTGTTAAACCTTATGTTTCTGAATAACTGAATGATGCAATCCTGCATGTTCTTTACTAAAATCAGAAATGTTAGATTTTTTTATTTTTTCTGTTTAGAGTTTTAATGGTATTTCTATACACTCATTCTTACCAGACACCACAAAGTTTTGGTTAATCAAGCAGTTTTAATAGTTTTGTTGGAGGCAGTGGCTGCAACAGACTCAGATTGTTCTTCTGTGTGTGACAACATTACAGGAAGGATCCCGACAGAGAGAGAGCTTTTTTGTTACAGATGAACAACATGTCCCCCCCTTTGTACCATGAGAAGAAGGAAAAAAGGGGCACAGAGATTGCTGCAGCCTGGACACTCAGAGAATAATAATGATTGAGTTTATATTCACAGTTACAACACAGGATGTCTCCACTCTATCCACGTCAAAGAGGAATTCCTGCTCTATACACAACTCCTCCAGTTTCTCCTTCTTTTCCCACAGTCCAGGAGAACATGTTCCTTCGCCTCCATGTTTACAACTTTGCAGCTTCCTGCTTGGTGCTGGAGAGGCCGCTCCTATTGGTTGTTGTAAATGGTCACACCTTTGAACAACTCAATATGCGTCAAGAAAAATTAATTGATCCCTGTTTCTATAAAACTTTGAAATAGTGTCAAATAAGACAGATAAGCACTGGCATATCATGTGTCTTTGCACTCGTATTTTAAGAATCTGAAGTTGTTTATATAATGAATTGTTTTCTGGACTTTACTAAATAATGTTTATCGTTTCATGTTTGATGTAAACGATGTTGATGGGATGTTGCACGGGCGAAGAGCCCAAGACAAATTTGCCCCTTTGTGAACAATAAAGTTCATCTTGAATCTTGAAGATTAAAGACCTGCGATGACATCAAACATGTTTGTTTTATTGGAACAGACGGGAGAAAGACCGCCTTTAAACTGGTCAGATAGAGTTTGATGATCACCTTACACCAAGCGACTGGGATCAACGGAGCGCGCCCCCAACTCCAACAGAGCTCTGATTTTATTCAGACTCTGTGAAATGAACTTTTACTGGACACACTTTGGTTGGATCCATTTCCCCCCAAAAGGACTTTCTGCAGCCGCTGCAGCCCATGTGACGACTACAGGTTGAAGTATTTTACAGGAGCAGGTGCACAGGTCATTTTGAGTACGGTCTTTCACCCGCTCTTTTGTAAAGTGTCTCCAGATAACATTTGTCATGTATTGGCACTTTACAATTAAAGATTGATTGATTGATTTGAACACCAACATGTATAAAAATAGGATAAACTGGAAGTCTGAAAAGGTCTACCATGAGACGGACGTTCATCTGAAGTCTCTGGAGTTTCTTAGATTAGATTAGATCAAACTTTATCGTCCGTCCCAGCAGTGACAGAAAATCTCCTTTGAAGAAAGCTCAAACAATAAACCCAACTTTCATTAAAAACACAACGAAGTACAGACATTATAAGGAGACTGTTAAAGACAGCGGCTGATAAAAAGGGTGGATTTGATTTTGTTCAGGGAGGTTACTGCGGAGGGAGTGAAGCAGTGATGTAGAGGGACTTTGTAGAGAGTAACTGGAAGGAGGGTGTGAGGGGCCTCTGAGACCAGGGTGGCTCTCTTGACCACAGAGAGGTTTTACAGTTCAGAGAGGGTACAGTAGGTTGGGATGAACCAATCAGTTGCTGCTACACTTCCAAACAGCTGACGTTCATACCACACACTCACTACCAGGTACGGTAACATGCTGGGTCGACATGCTGCACTAGAAAACTAAAAGTAAAAGAAAAACAGAAGTGTACACAATATTTCCGCTCCACCCTCTGGGCATGAAAACGTGCCTAAAGGGATAAAAGCCACAGAGAGGAGAAAGGTCAGAGCCTCAAAGAGAGAGATGACAACAGACTCCCTCTGAGCCTGATTTCCTCCTCTGTTAGTTCACCTAAAGACACGCTTGATATTTATCAAACAAACAGCACCGTCGTTAAATGCAGTCGTCCTGTCATCTGAGGCACAGCTGGAGAGCATTCAGCAGGTTTCTCTCTGCTTTGCATGGATTGATTTAACGAGGGAGGAGGGAGGGAGGAGACATGACATGTGAGTGCAGGGTGCGTTTTCTGCAGGCATACGGTTGTTAAAGTGCAGCGAAATCTGACGAGGAAACAAAGATTTGAAGAGCTTGTGCTCATTAGACTTTAAGTTTACTGAGCTGCTTATAATGCTTTTGTTTTTTTCTTCTCTCCGCTTTCATCGTGTCTCTCCTCCCCTTTCTCTGCAGCTCCTCCAGGCTCTGTTTGACCTATCATCGTCCGCTCTGATGTTTGAAAGAAAAAATATAAAAGCATCTGTGTGTAATTATTTATTGTTCTCGACCGTTGAGTTTAAGGAACACCGATATTTATGTTGCTTTTGTTTTTTGATTGGAGAGAGTTTCTGACGCTTTTTGTGCAGCTGCAAACACAAACAGACAGGGACACACACGTTACCATGACAACAGTAATTGTTAGGATGGAACCACTTGGCAGGAACACGCTTTATTTAAACGTGCATTGAGTGTGTGAGTGTGTGTGTGTGTGTGTGTGTGTGTGTGTGTGTGTTTTCAGAAACCTCTCACTGGTCCAGGACTGAATCTCTGCCATCATTTACTTTTATTTAACATGAAAACAAACTCAGTCTCCTTCAGTCTTGCAAATTTGCCAAATCTCTGCAGCTTTTCTGAAATCAACCAATTTCCCCCACTGGTATTTATCTGGTCGTCACCAAATTACCGTTTGTGATATTCTTAAATTCTTCCACACGAGGTCAGTGATATGTTGTCTGCACATCTTAGGGTCTGGTGCATTTTTCTGCAGGTACAGAAACAGTCTGGTATCTTTGTCTGTAATACATTTTGACGAGCTGCTAAACGCCATCTTGAGTGACTTTTACATCTTTGATGGGTTTTTTTCCCGCAGTGTTCTTTTCACAGGAACACAATCAACAAATCCAATACCAACATAGTGACGGCTCAGCCTCTTGAATCAGGTTCTGTATTGATCCAGAGGAGGGAATTTACAGACACACAATCACATGTTCCCCGTCTCGTGTTCTCAGCACAGAGACACCGATTGGATGTTTATGAGGTAAAAAAAACTGAGGAGGAAATATTGACAAATAATTACGCAGAGACGTGCTGAAGAGCAGACAGCAGAGTGTGATGGAGGATGTCGGATATTATTTACAAGGTTTTACTGTGAATTTTTCAAAGATACTTTATTGACTAGATAAAAATATAAAAATCAGAACCATGTGTCAGTCAACTTGTTTTACTTTGTCATTTAGGTGACATATTCTCCTCCTCTTAATCAGAGTCTCAGAGCTCTCAAAACATGTCTGTGAAGTTTCTTGTTCTAAATCCACTCTGATCCTGTATTTCATCATGTCTATAAACCCCTCTATTTCAGCCCTGCTCAGAACAGTGTCTGTACCTTTAAATATGTAAATGAGCTGTCTGACCACGCCCCCTCTCTGGAAGGACTTGGGTGTCTTTCTCGCTCCATGTTGTTTACAGTGAGAAGGCAGACTCAGAGGGCAGAACAAACACCTAGCTGTCACCCACCTGGGGAGGGGCTACTGCCCTTTGTGATGTCATGAAGGGAAAATCTCCAAACGGCCTTTTTGAGCAAACATTTTCTGAAAAGTGGAGCAGGCAAAAAGACGGAGAGGATGGACTTTTCTCATCATTGGGGGGTTTGTAGACAGACTAGAAACACATATTAAAGTTAGAGGAACATGGGGAAGTGTATTTAGTATAACGTGACCTTTTATATTCTTTACATTGAATTAAAGCTCCTTTAAAGTCTACATGGATCAGACAGCTCAGCACACACACATACATGAGAACAATAACGCCATCACACAGCAGCGCTGCAGTCAAACAGCCTCCTCACCTCAGAGTGACATTTACTGAACAAACACAGTTAAAGGGCAGAGCAGCAGCAGGACGGGGGTCAAATCTCCTCTAATTATTGTTGGTTCACACAGTTCAGTCTGCACAGCTCTCGTCATCATCACCACACTGATCCTGCATAAAAGAGATGCAAACATCTGATAGTTCAAATTTTTCAGCGGGCCTGTAACTCTCACAAACAAAAGTCCTATCAGGACTATTATATCACCGGATATGATATGAATTCCATTTAAGGAGCAAAATATGACAAATAATCAACATTATGGCTCCTATGGCTTAAATGCACGATGCAATACTGAACAATATTAAGACCTTAAGCATGCTTTCATATAACAGCATTTGACTTCAGTGCAGATTCTCTGGTTGAAGTTCTGTGCAGAAACCTGCAGAGTCCAGAGGACTAAAGTCTGCCACATGCAGCCAAGTTCTCTAAATAATCCCCTGAACTGTTTATGGAGGGTAACCGCATCAGTCTGCACGACAAAAGGCCTTAATTCATTTTAGATTTATGCACTCGGTGTGTTTCAGAGCTTCGATCCATTCTCGTTTTCACAGCCAGCTCCTCGTTCCTTATTTACTCTCCCTGCAAACACGTTTCCCTTTCTCTCTTCTTGAATTCTTAGACTTTCGTATATTTCTGCATCCTTCCTCTTCTCGCTCTCTCTCTCTCTCTCTCTCTCTCTGCCTCGTTTGATTTCCCACATTCACAGCTGCTCGACAAAACAGGAAGAAGTGCTTCCCACTTCCTCCTCCTTCCCCCCCCCCTTCCTCCTCCTGTTCCTTGGTATCCTCTCTGCTGCTGGTTTGATGACAGGCTGTCACAAGTGTTTAATGTTTTCACAGAAAGTGCCCGGCTGAGTGCCGGAAAATGACAATCACATTTGCAGGCAAACAGAGACACACAGGTCTGAGGAGGGAGAGGAGCATGAGGAAGAGGAAGCAGCTCTTCCTGTCCTTCTGGTTTCATCTGGCCTTTGATTGGACACTGATTGTTATATGTGGAGCTCGTTCCTTAACGCTAAAGGGCAGCGGTGAAAACAAATGGTGTAATTAAAGAAGCCTAATGTGACACACAAGAGAGAGAGAGAGAGAGAGAGAGAGAGAGAGAGACATCAGGGGGTGATGTGTCAGATTTATTAGATTGAGGTGTATTTGTTTGTGCTGTTTGACTCGTATCTGAACTGACACCGCCTGACCTACATTCTTCAGACAGACAGACCGGCGGTGGACTGACCTGTCAGTCAAACGCAGGAGGAGGGACAGAGGTCAGGCGGGGAACAGGAAGGACTGAAGTTCAAGCATTAGTCAGCACAAATGTTGTCGAAATTTGCGATGCATTTCTGGGTTTTAAAACGATACAATCTCCACTATTCTAATGATGGATAGTATGCAAAAGCTTAAAAAAACATCAGATAAGTCATATATTTAACCAAAGCTGCTGCCAGAGAGAGAGAGAGAGAGAGAGAGAGAGAGAGAGAGAAATTTAGACAGTGTGCATGAGTTTTCCTGCAACTTTTGTTTATAAAAACAAAAAAGTACACAATATAGGGTCCGTATAGGGCTTCTATTTTTGTTACTTTGGAATTTAAATAGAATCATTTTAAAAGGCAAACCTCTGGTCTCCCAACAACCCCAGCCTGATGCATTCAAATCCTGACAATCTCTGGATCTGATCACAGCTGCCATTGGGCGAGAGGCGGGGTACACCCTGGACTGTTCACCAGTCAATCACAGGGCTACCACGAGAACAACACACTATATTTCTAAAAAAAATCCTCTCGAAGATAAAACGATATCAGCATGTTACACTTCCTCTGATCTGAAGAGCAAACAATCCTCAAGGTTTGAATGATGTCATCACAAACATAATAGTCTACGATCCTCTCTGCAGTGTCTGCAGCACATGTGACGGAGCTCTACAGGCCTGGTTTTAGAAAACATCTTTTTAAGGATCTCTGCTAAATGTTGGAATACTTTTTTAAGATGATATATGATTTGGCAAAGTGTAAAATACATGCAGTCTTGGAAATTATCTGCATGTTCTGCATCGTAATCTAGAGTCTAGGAGTGTTGTCTAACTTATCCATGAGCAAAGTGAGGAAGAACTTTATATGCAGATTTTTGCTATCTCATGTTGTAGTAGCACTTAGCTTTAGCTTCCAAGTGCTCAGTGTTTCAACATTAACATGATAAATATCTGCTGCATCGGCTGAGCATTTTCAACAGTTGCACTTTGCTTGGTGGCTCAAAGTATGAGCGAACATAAAAAGGGAAAAGTGCAGTTGTGTTCAGATTAATTCAGCCTGCTCGGATTCAGATCAAAGTCTAGACAATCATAAAAAAAAGGCACCAGAGGTGCGGAAAGAGGACAAGCACTGTCTAGGACAGGGATGGGCAACTTTGGTCACAGCAAGGGCCACATTCATTTAATTCTCACTGCCAGAGGGCCAAATTAAACGATTACAGTCGATTATGTCTCAAATTAACTCAACATATACCAGTGATCAGATATTATTATGGACATATTTCTGGTTTTCATGATTTCATGGCGGATTTCATCATGTTTTTCTTCATGTTTCCAATTAATTGATGTGTAAAAAATGAACCTGAGGGCCACATTTAAGGTTGATGGGGGCCGCCAGTTGCCCACCCCTGGTCTAGGATAATATTTGGGCATATAGCCAATTCCTTAAAATCAGCAGATGCACCAAAATCAAATCGATCTCCCGCCTCCAACCCAACCTGTGCAAATGTTTCTGACTGAGAAAGATGTTCCTCTTTCCTAGAAAGCGGCAAACTGACAGACTTTTGAGACATGATGCAACCCCACCGCATTCCTCCTGCTGGATTCATGTTTGAAGTTCTGCACAAGTGTTGGTCAGTAGTAGACACTTAGATCAGAGCCTGCAGAAATGTCCTTTAATTCAGGTTACTCTATCACTCAGCACTATTCATGTATCTTTGTTTTAAGCTGAAATGCAAAGCTACATTTGTGCAAAACAAAGTCACAAAGAGAGAAATCAGAAGTCATTAATTGGAGAAGCTCAGAGACAGTTTGTGATGCTGCAGCATTCATTACCAACACATTCTGCAGAGGACTACTGTCACCACAGGGAGCTACACACCCCTCAGCTTTTATTCAAGTGTTTCTTAACGAGACAGGCTGGTGCTCCCATGAGAACAGTCTCTTAGGAGAGGACGTCCTCTTTGCTTTCATCATGTGTTCGCAAAGGGAATGCAATCCTTCTTAATTAGCTTGTTGTTAACACAGCATGCAGACAGCAGTAGATATTAAAAAAAAAAACACGGTGAACATATGGAGAGCTCATCCTCAGCATCAGACCTCACAACCACTTTATAAACACACACGGAGATTTAATCACACGCGTGTTGAAACTGCTAATATCACATAAACCATCCTGTGTGACACCCCCTCCCTCCTCTTATGTAAGAGAAACTCTGCTCCGTTTGATTAGCTGTTACTTAACAGGAGCGCTGCGGTGACACGCGGGGAGAGGAAGACTCGCGGAAGAGCCGCGAGGGCGGGGGGACCGACGGAACCTTAGAAGAAGAAGAAGAAGAAGGGGACGCATTCGGAGAGATTAAAAGTCTGCGTTTCTCCTCAGCTGACTGCAGATCAGCTGCAGCAACAACCCGGAGAAGCTTCCGCTGCAACAGTTGTCTGCTCTCCTCCAAACACACAAAGCGCATCACAGCTCCGCGCTGCGCCACCACCCCTGCTCCTCCACACGCTCCCTCTCCACTCACACAACCTGCAGAGAGACTTTAAAGTTTCTGACGTTACCTGAAATCCCTCCGCCGACCACTATCACATCGTACGTGTTGCTGGGTGCTGTCATGGTGCAGTCTGCTGTGTCCGCCGCCGAACGCAGGGCGCACCGAGAGGCGCATCTGTATTAAAGCTCCGGGCAGGCCCCCCTCCCTCCTGACTCCGCCCACCGAGAGAGCAGCGGCAGCGCTGGGAGGGTTAAAACTGCTCAGACATCAAAATTGACCTCCTTCATAATCAGAATTAAAGAGTTCAGAGGACGGACTTTGCATTTCTATATAAAGGTCTGCTCTTATCAGACGAGCAGCATGTTTTTATTGACTGTGATATCAAAGTTACTGACTGAGATCAGCTCCTGTGAATCATTAATGTAATAGAGGACGCGTTGTTCTTTTTATTTCTAGGGAAAGAAGTTATCTTTTTCCCTAAAAAGCTTTCTGCGTCAAGAACATTATGCAACCAGAGCTGTAATGAAACTGTGTTTTAAAAGAGCAGGCTGATGCAAAAATAGAAATATTAAAATAAATATTTTTGCAAAAAAAACATGTTCTGAATTTAAAGAAATCACGTTCTTTGACCCTAAAAGTTTAAACTTTTAGACATTCAGTCAAAGTTTGGCACTCCGCTTGTTTTCTTGCACTTTTATGTTTCTGTATAATCACATTTATTTGTGTTTTTTAGTTTCTGTCGCCCTCTTGTGGTCGGTAACTAGAAGTTTACACCTGCTCTTTGCACATTAGTAAGATATCTCCTGACTGAAATGATAAAGTGACCTTCCTATATGATCAGACTTTAAGAAAACATGCTATGTTGAAGTGCTGGCTTCTCTGACAACAATGCAGCAGCCAGTATGTCCTCCTTCTAACTTTAGATTCTGGTCCTGAATGCTCTGGATTTGCGTGGACCAGAGAAGGTAGGCGGTTTTAAGGCACCCCCACACGGCCGTTTTGGACGCCCCTCAGTTTGCCTGATATGAGAGCAGTTATCAGGTCAAACCAACAGGTGTTGCAGCGATGTAAGGGGGCAAGAGAACTGGTTCAGATAGAAGTGATTGTACCCGACCTAAAAAGCCTCTGCATGTTTCTAATAAGCTCCACGAGCAGAAACGTGCTCAAACTAGGATCAATATTGGAGATGCTTTTGAAAAATGGAGAGAGGTTAGAACGCAGAAAGGTTTACAGACCGATGCAGAGCTGGATAAACACTGAAGCTTCAGTGTCCACCACATGGTGACCTGCGTGAGCATCGACTCTAGAGAGGAGGGGGCGGGGGGAGACAGACCTCTACGATGTTTAGAATTCAGACTGCAGTACCCATTTTAAACACTAGGTGTCAGAGTTACATATTGCTCCTTTAAGTTGTTCCTCCTGGTCAGAGAGAACTGACAGCTGTGATCACATCGCTTTCACTCAAGTAAATTTGCATTCTTCAAAATTTGATTAACAAACCGAGTAATTAGACGACCTTCAGGTCCAGAGTCTTTTGTTTTTAGAGCCAACGCAGTCTTTCATCTGTAACGTCCATGTGTTCCCACGCTGCACGCTGACGGAGGCTCTAAGCTGTTTAAAAAGAACGTCTTTCCATTGCAATTTTGCAGGTATGTTATTAAAGTATTAAGACCCTCAGTGGGTTAATCTGACCACCACTGTGCTTAATCCTAATCCTCCTTTGATCTAATTTATGAAATAAGCCAATAAAGTCCCGCGTTAGAACATCCCCGTCCTCACAGGAGCTGCAGACGGGGCGAGGCACAGGTGAGGTAAGATACACATTACCTGATTTATTAACTGACCAGGGTAGGCCTATTTGTCAGGGACATCTAGTGCAACTGATGTAGGACTTCTAGCCTTGGCTAAGGTGTAGTCTTTGTCCCTGGTTTGACATATAAGAAATAACACACATGATACAACAAAGGGCAGTAACTCCTCCCATAACTATTTAAAATAGGTTGTTTTTAATTATAAAGCAGCGAATGGTCGCCAGGGGTTGTGAGTGAACGGGGAGCTGCTGTAACTTTATCTCTAACATGTCTGTCCTTGAGAGAACTCTATATTTTGAGTAAAACACATGAGCTATTCTTCTCTGACTTCATGAGGTAACTGTCTGTATGTGGACTTCCATTTTTGTTGCTGTGGTTTCAAAGCAGGTATTGACATCATTAGATCTTAATAGAATCATGTTGAAGTTTAAAATTCTGATCTCTTGACAACGCTGGTGTCTGTTTTTATTGACTAGTTTGAGACAAGAATTACACACTTGTGAAGCACTTTGACTTTTCTCAGTGACAGACGCTAAAGCCTCATAAATAAACTTTACATATGCATGAAATTATCTTAATATCTTAAGATGCTGCTGCTTCTTTACCTCCGTTTGCTTCGTTCCTGTTTCCAGCTGCAGGGTCGTCTCCTGTTTCTCTTTCTGTGGCTGTTTGAACACTTCAGACACATTTCGAGGAGGATGAAATCAATTTATTGATCAGGCGATGATGAGCAGCTGTGGAGGCTGACAGCAGGTGAGATAAGATGCAAAATGTGAGGATGTGCAGGTGGAAAGGTGAGGGGATATCAAAATATAACTGAGAGGAGAAAGCTGATGATGATGATGATGTTGCCAAGAGGACGTGTGTGGGAGGTGTAGTTCAGACAAAGAGTGTAGAATAACTAAAACTACATCCAAGACTCAGCAGGAGACAAAAAATAACATGTACACCGTGTTAGAGAGAAAATCATACTGTTGATGTCCTTTAAGCAGAAACCAGGTGTGTGAAGAGTGACTCACCAGCAGAGGGCAGCAGCAGTCTAGACTTTAAGGAAACCATGCACACCCAACTGCATACCTTCTATATCCTCACAAATTATCGCAAAGCTTCAAATGTCATAAATCTGTCCTCTGGGTAATTTAAAAGAAAAATGCATGAATATTTTAAATCCATTTTTCTTAGAAAGCAGTTTATGAAAGAAAAGTCTTTATGTTCACTGACACTGAGAGAGATTGTAAAGGTTTATCTTTTCAAAAGTTATACGAGAGTTTTAAGTGCATTTTCATTGACAGAAATCTGTTACCGTGGAGATGTTTGTGTGTGCTGCTGTGGCTCAGTGTAGGTTGTCTCTCAACTGGAGGGTCAGGGGTTCGATCCCCAGCTCCTGCAGCCTCATGTCTGATGTGTCCTTGGTCAAGACACTTAACCCCAAGTTGCTCCCGCTGCTTCCTCAGCAGTATGTGAATGTGGATGAGTGTAGGTGTGACCTGCAGTGTGAAAGCACTTTGAGTTGTCTAAAGATAAGAAACCATTCTGGGACTTGAAGCTCCTGTTGGCTGATTTGAACAAACTGACCAGACAGCATGCAGGAGTTTGCCTTCAACTTTGGATTGTTGCCATGGTTTCAAAAAGGTATTGATACTGTTTGTTTTTTACAAGACACAACTTAAAATTCTTGAAGCGTGACAAACCTATAGTGTGAGCTGATGTGGCATTGGTTGTTTTTAATGAGTTATTGAGATGTGTCTTTTAAATGAGCCTTTAAACCAGAAACTGTAAATATTTATGGACGGAGCCTGAGTGACGTTACCCATCTGTTCCTGCAGGGGGCGCTGAGTCCCATCGATGGCGACCACCATTTTGGAAATCCTGTCTCAGCCTAACTTTCAGTCAACATAACAACAGGCTGAGAGCTGGAGCTGAGGCGGGTTTAAGCCTCCTGACAAACCGTCACACCGCGGCCGCCTGTCAATCATGTTAGCTACACGCCTTATTGTGAATAACTCTTATCCTTCATCAAATCGAAACGGATGAGTCATCAAAACATTCACCCCCCACCCCCCCAGTACAGTGTGTGCCGATCGAGACATGAGCTAATCAGACCAGGCTTTTTTGAATGGGTGTGTGTGTGACTTCCTATTCCTGCAGCCAGCCTCTAGTGGACAATTGATGAACTGCAAGATTTTGCACTTCAGCATCTGCTTCATTTTTCCACACCTGAGGTTGCGTTTTGCTTCAAACCTGCACATTTGGCCTTAAAAATCTTTTCTTACGAGCTTTTTCTCAATCAGACTGAGCTGATTACAAAATGAACAAAACAATAATAATGGTGTTTCAAAAAGCTGCACAGGAATCCTTTGAAAATGGACGTGCATCTCAAGGGTTAATTCTTAATAAAGCAGCAACAGTAATTTTCTACAAACTCTAAAAACTTCTCCTCTTTCATTTCCAATAACTGAAACCGTTCACCTGTTCATTTACAAACACATTTGTTGAATCACAATTCTGTTTCTGTTCCAAAAATATGAAAATGTCAGTTCCTGTTCAGCTCTCACATCGTTGTATCATTAATTATGTTGAGGACATTTAAAGCGCTCCAGCACATTGGTCATTACTGCGTTCATATTTTCTCAGTTAATTACGTGCTGACAGCTCGAACACAAACCTCAGCGTTAAATAAACGGCAAGTCTCAAAACATGGCCGCCGCCCATGTTTCACGTCTGGCACTTAAAGGGAATGTTAAACACACAGATGTGACTTTCTTCCTGCAGTCAAACGTCTCTTTTTCTGTGATTTTTATTAAGCGCTCGGGTGGTTATGAATGGGGGGGGGAAGCGGGGGCGGGGGATTAATGTGTGTAACGTCTGCTGGAGTGAAGAGGGTTATAAAACAGCACATGTGGCTGCCTCACACCTGCGCGCACACACACACACACACACACACACACACACACACACCAGGAGGCAAACTGTATTTGATGGAAGATGTTTAAAAAAAAGTCTTCAGATCTGCCGACGTCAGGTCATTTCAAAACCAAACAGTTCCACAGAAATTTAAATTCTTGAAATAATTACCCATCCTGCCTATGTGTGTGTGTGTGTGTGTGTGTTGATGAAGTAGACACACAGTTAGAGGAGACAGCACTGAGAGGCAGATTAATCTCCAGAGTCGGAGGAAGAAACGTTTTTATTAAGTTCACGTGTGAAGCGGCGGCTGAGCTGTCGGATGTTGTTGAGATTGAAACGTCCACAGAGCTGCAACAAGGACATCTGTACACCCAGTGAGTGTGTGTGTGTGTGTGTGTGTGTGTGTGTGTGTGTGTGTGTGTGTGTGTGTGTGTGTGTGTGTGTGTGTTCACAGAGTGTCTGATAGTTAAATGAGAAACATCATGTATCCACACCACGGACAGATTCAGGTTTTATTCTTCCTGCTGGGCTCCTCTGTCGCTTCAACATTTACACATTATTTTCATCCCTCTTTACTGCAGCACAGGCGAGGATTTTAATGGCGCTCAGTTGGTTGAACATTTTTAAAAGGTGAACTATCAGCCACGAAGGACCTCCTGCAAAACTTCTTTTTTATAACTGAGAGACTTACAGTTTTATATTTACATCTTTCTCTTTAAAAACTTTAGTTTGGAAGCAAAAAGGGGCCAAAATAATTTAATCAACTGCTTCCATGTGGTGTTTTTGTAAATTCTTCCAAATGACGAGAGATAGTGCTTTAATGAAGTTTAGCCTTCAATCTGAATGTCCTGAAGGTGTAATGGGGGGACCAAGTAATCCCCCTTCAGAGGGGGGTAAAGTATACCAGTGTTTCAAAGCTAGTGTTATTTAAATTCTATCTTTGAGAATGAGTATACCTGCTCATACAATGATTTTTATTTTGGCCCTCCTTTGCTTCCATATCGTCGTTCATCATGAAGTTTTAATTCAGACTTTATGCTCTGAAACTTTTGAGGTTGAAGATAATTGAACTTTTTAACAATAGGAAACAGGGGCGTGGCCTGGGATGGCATTGATCTGATTGGCCACACCATGGGCTAGGAAAGCAAAACTAGATCCCGGACCAAGAAGTTTGGAGGATCCTGTTTGGAGGATTTATTAAGTGACGTTTTGAGCACTTAATAAATCACAAGGATCTTGTTTTGCTTTCCTTACCTATCTGTGTGTTTTGGATCCAGCACCAACTAAGGGATGTGCGAGTCTTCTTTGATTTCTGCCCCCGCTGTGCTACCACAAAATCCTCTATGATTGGCTTTTTCCCTAATCAGAGGCGGGACTTAATTACTAGTCAACTATTCTGTTTTCAACAGGCTGGAACTTTTAGTTGTTAATAAATACTTTGCAGCTTTTTACAATTAAAATTTCCAAGGAAAAACTTGTGCATGCAGTCATACTTGCAATGGACTTAAATGCCAATAAATGTATTTTTGTCTGTTTGACAGCGTGCAAGAGTTTGCATGTAATTTACGAAGTACCATAAAATCTGGTGTATAAGACGCACTTTTAATACCTATTTTTGCGTCTTAAAAGTTAGCTGCGTCTCATACACCGGTGAGACCAATATACCAGTATAAAATACTGAAACACGCGCCGTTATTACCACGGGTGTAGCAGCCACTAACTGCGACCTGATGCGATCAAAAACCCATCCCCATTCATTGTGTATTGAAAGCTGGTTGCACGCTGTGCTGGAAAAGACGACTGGCTGCGCAACTTTTTTCACATATTTTCTCCCTCACAAGGTGATAATCATGCATTTACAGAAAACAGTGGTATATTGTTCCGTAAATAAACATTGTGGAGTGCTCTTTTGATTGAAAGAGTCTTATATTAAAGTTAAAGAGTGACCAGCGGAGTCGGGCAGCGCGACTTGCAAGCTAGGAGTCTGTGCCTCACAACTTTCACTGCAGGCTGAGAGCTCAACTACCGTACTGTAGCTAGTAGGAGCGCAAACTCCCAAAAGTGAAAACAGACGGAACTAAAAGAGCGGCACAGCTGCACAGAAAATGCACGTTGTAGACATCGCTGAACACAATATAAATCGTGATGCAGGAAAACAGTTTAAACTTTTTATTTCTCTCTAAGAGACCTTCAAAACAGGGTGCGTCTTTTTTACCGGTGCGACTTATATTCCGGATTTTACGGTACTTAAAACTGTGACTTTGCACACTCATCTTTGTTGTTTAGTCCCTAAAGAATCGAGCTAAGAAGATTTATATGTTGCCAAATTGTGTTTCTTACAAGTACATATAATTTGTGGGTATAGAAGGGGTAAAAAAATAATGAATTCAGTTGCATGTGCCCACAAACGTCAGGCCACCCAAGTGGGCCACCCCAGTTAAAAAATCTGGACACGCCCCTGGACAGGAAGACCCTTAATTGGTAGACTGGGACTGAGTAGCTTGTTTTTTATTTCAGATAAACCGTTCTACGACCTGACACACACACACACACACACAGTCTGAATGAGTTATATCCTGTGTTTATGACGGTGCAGTGTGAGGAAGCTGTTTGCAGGAGTTACAAATGAAGGCGGAGCTTCACAGAACAGTTTGGACAAAATTGTCACAACATCAAACACGTCATCACGACAGGCAGAAGCGATAGAAGCTACGGTTTCAATAAAGAAGATTACACTGAACATGAACACTGATCGCCTCCACACTCCGTCAGTCCTTAACCCCGTCCTCCTTTTCGTCCTCTGAGCTCCGTTTACGGCGTCCGCCTCGTCTCGTTTATCGTCCACCCAACGAGCTCTCCCGTTGGCCTCGCTCACTTTTTTTACACGTCCCGATAAGTCTGCAGGGAGCGTGTAAAACGTTATTGGGTAAGTAAACGCGGCACAGGTGTTTCTCTGCAGATCCTCCACATGTGTTGTCCTCGCCCAGCCTCGTCCCAGCTTTTTAAACGAGCCGTGTTGTTTGGTAGTCATATACTCAGCGGGTGTTTTTATGGAGCTGCAGGCAGAAAGCGCTCACAGTAACAACCTCTGGTACTGTGGTTTGGGAGCATGTGTGCAATGAATTACTGAGGCCTGTAATGAGCGTCTCCACTGTGAGAAGGCCCCCCCCCCCCCCCGGGAGCAGCAGGTTGCGGTGTCTGGCCTGGAGAGAAGGCTTCGTCCTGATTGAAAGCACAAAAAGTAAGAGGGGATCGTGTTCTGTTTGAGTGTGAGAGAGAGAGGAACGAGCGCTCCAAACTGTCACTCCAAGAAAACAACAAGCATGTTGAGTTTTCTGATCCAATATTCAAACCTCTGGAAAGCGTTAGAGTCCGGCTCGGGGCCAACAGGATCTTGGTTCTTTGGAGTGTCTTGGAGGAGGGGGTTGCTGCATCCCGCTCAGCTGCACTCCTCACAGTTGCAGGCGAGGATGTATCTGTATGTGGCGGTGATGCGGGTTCCGCCGGCGCAGCGAAGCCTCACCGCCTTCAGCTTGGAGGTGTGCGGCCGGCAGCAGGAGCAGGTGCTCTTGAAGGGCTGTTTGAGCACCGAGCTGAAGGAGATGAGGGGGTCAGAGCGGGTGGTGTGGCTGCAGTGACCCTCACAGCGAGCCAGAAGCACCATCTGAAACACAGCAGGAAAATAATAAGAGAAGAGACTCCTCTTAGTCTAAAGCTGTCCTGGGTAATCAGACTACAGGGGTAAATCATCCATCTTGAGGACTTGACAAAAGTATTTTGTGGCTTTTGCGCCCTCTATACCCGAGTTATATGAGTCAAAAAGAACCAAATAAACAAAACAAATGCAAAGGTTTAAATGCACCTGAAATTGGGCTGCAGAGCAAACAGCGTCTCTGTGCTACGATATTATTTGTGAATATTTAAATGAGACATTAAACAATCATTTGGGAAAAATAGCCTCCGTCTGCTGAGAGTTGGCTGTGACTGCGCCGCTATATTTATAAAAGATGACATGCACAAAGTTTCCAGTGATCAAGAAAACAATTCCAACTTTGGATGACTTTAAAAAGAAATGATCTGTTCATAAGACTCTGACGTTATTATTAATATAATCTGGGGTGAAATCAGTCCTGTGCCGTCAGAGACTCCACACTTAATCCATGTGTGGAGGCGGTCTAGACCCCGCACAGCGAGGATTCAAGTTTTCGGGGGTGAATTAGCCTAGTAAGCTCGATTCAGGGATGAAACGGTGTAACTCAAAGAAATATTTTTAAATCTGACAATAACCCTTTTTCAACCCAATTTTTACAGATTTCACTTTTGTGATGGCGCCTTGTTATTGCTGTAATCATTTTAATTATATTATTTATATTTAAATATCTAATTTTATTTTAATTTATCTATTTTATCCTCCGTATCTGTCATCAACTTTCCATCTTCTCTCTGCTGTTAATAAATCTTTATTCGTCTTCTCTCATGGACTTCTGTGATTTGGGTTTCTGTTTTTGTGACGCCATTAAAGAATCCCACTTTGCTCCGTTTGTTTACACTTTGCAAAATCTGCTTTACCGACAGTATAATGGAAGTTATGCTAAATACATCTCACAGGTAGTTCAGGCTGTGTCTGAAGGTCTCGTGGTACAATGAAGCAGTGTGTTTGTCTGCTCACATTGTCTCACAGTTTTGGCCTTGCAGCTGCAAACGGACCGATAGCAACGAGACGAGCAGGTGGTGGAGTCACTTCCTTCCTCCACCTGCTGCAGCTCGGAGCTCAGCTTCACACAGTTACACTTTATCAAGTCAACTCCTCTACTCCAGATTAGTTTAAAACTGCGTTACAGCCATGAGGTTCCAGTGTTCCCCACAGCGCTTTAAAGTTAACAAGTCGCGCCCTCCACCTTAAATACGGTTGTAGAAATAAACCCAACTTGTCTCCCTTTCTGACTGTATTCATACAGGAATTAGCTGCATGGCAATCAGATGTATTGGGGCATGCCCCATGCACAGGGGCTGTGGTCCATGAGAGCAGGCAGCCCGTTCAGGTCCGACCTGTGGCTCCTTTCCCGCATGTAGTTCCCCGTTCTCTCTCCACGGTTTCAGACTCTATCGTCAGTAATGTAACATCCTGCTGTAATTTGTAGCTGGACAAACTATTTCCTTTACAGAGCGCTGAGTTTGCCTCAAAAACTCAAGATATAGACCCTAAACACGAGCGACTCCCTGGGTGTTTCGTCTGACCACACAGCATGCTGAGCAGCTGCAGCCAGTGCACACAGACACATCCACTTAATGTACGATGTGTGTGTGTTATGTGTTCAACATTATCAAACCTGAACATGCCTTTATGAGCTCTCCCTGAACTCTTCAGCATGCACTGAGCAGGTCAGGTAATATCTTGGGTTTCTATCATTTTAAATAAGATTTGGTTTGATCAAATCTTACACAGAGTTTACTTGGTTCATTGTTGTCCAGGTCTGCTCAAGGGCTCTATTGTGGTGGGAACAAAATCTCTATACCAGTCAGACACACACACACACACACACACACACACACACACACACACACACACACACACACACACTAAGCTGTGGCCTGATTAGTGTTGTTTCGTCCGGCTGACATTCCTCCGTGTGTCGCCACATTCCCATCGCTCTCTAAACAGACTCCTGTGTCATGTCCTTCTGTCAGCTGCTGTGTGTTGCCACCCGTGTTCCCACTTTGACAGAAGCCTGTCTGGGGCCACCGCAGGGTGACACACACACACACACACACACACACACACACACACACACACACAAACCCACACACACTGGAGTGTTGTCGCCACTTTAAGACCATTTGTCTTTGTCCCAGCTGAGGATCAGGCTGTCAAACGCTGACAATTCCTCCTCCTCTGTGACGCCTCCTCCTCCTCCTCTACGTTCTCCTCCTCTGTGACGCCTCCTTCTCCTCCTCCTCCTCACTGTCCACACTTCTCCTGCTCCTCCTCTCATTCATGAGCAGGAAGATTTAAAAAAAGCTGATATTAATGATGGCGATATTACATTACTCGCTACAGGTGTAATCAGACGCAAGAGCTACAGCAAGGTAAGAAAATAGTCAGAGGCCTGGATGGGGAAGGAACTTGTCATGATTGGTACAAATGATGAAAAAGTGATTTCAATAAGATGAATCACAAAACAATGAGAAAATAGTCAACTACGATGCTCAAACCACGACCTCCTGTTGCATTAAGTTAAAGCTAACCAAGAAACTTATTTTCTGATAGTATGTCCAAAACAAAGAAATCTGACAAGAAATGAAACTCAATTAATCAATACACCAAGTTGGCAGAAAAATGAATGGCAACATTTCCCAGTCCAGACGGGATAAATATTCCCTGAAGCGAACTCTGGGTCTACCCCTTGGTCTCCTCCAATGGGGGGCATCCAAGAGGAATCCTAATCAGAGGCTGTAACCACCTCAACTGGATCCTTTCAATTTCAATGATCCAGGATCCAACAGTAGCGGCTCTACTCCTCGCCCTATCTCTAAGGCTGAGCCCAGCCCCCCTCCGGAGGACAATCATTTCGGCCGCCTGTATCCGTGATCTTACTCTTTCGGTCACTACCCATTGCTCATGACCACAGGTGAGGGTTGGAACGAGAGCTTTGCCTTCAGCCTCAGCTCCCTCTTCACCTCCGCACATCGCCCACATTACCGTCGATGCTGACCCAATCCGCCTGTCAATCTCAGACAAGACCCCGAGATATTCAAACTCCTTCAGTAAGGGGCAAAATGTTTTGAAAACTCAAATGTTGAGTTCTACAGAGGCCATGATGACTTGGAAAACTCATTATATGCTTTTATCACAAAATGAACAGTAGAGCTGCCAGTACATAGAAATGAACAATAGTCATGGTTATCTAGTCCACTATCCTGTGCAGGTGGATTCAGCGAGAAACAAACTGAGGAGTAAAACAGCTTCTCAGTCAGACGTCCTTTCAGCTCTCAGTGAACTGTAACAGAGAAAGAGACTCATGCTGGGAGTGTGTTCAGTGTGGTTTGAACACCTGCTCGCTGCACTCAGAGTCAGAAAATTAAAAAAAGACCAAAGAAGTGATCACACACGCGAGCTGAACAACTGCACGCTGCTCGACAAGAGGAGCGAGAGAACACCGACCACAGCGGTCACGTGTTAGGCGTGATTAACACACCGCTGCTCTGTGTGCAGAACGTTGTCTGACACTCCAAAGAAGAAAAACAGAAAGATTTAGCGTCACTTTTCTTCTTCTCTCTGCAGCCCGTCGAACGCTGGCAGAGTCAGGAGCGAGCAGGCTGACGGAGAGGCCAAAATGTGAGTCCCAGCTGAGGTGCAGAATATGTCTGCAGTGTGGCCCCTGTCCAGCATACACACACAGAAACACACACACACACAATCCAAAACAAACCAAGCGTGACTCGTCTAAATGACTGAGAGATGGAGATAAAGCGAGGGAAGGAAAAAAGGAGACACAGGATTGGCTGAGCAGACAAGGCTTTCAGGGGGAAACAGGAGTAACGTAGACGAGGGAAGGAGAAAAACTGTGCGAGATAAATTACTCCTCAGTTTGTGTCAGAGTTTTTCTTTTTGACTGATGGTGTTTTAAAGTTTTCTTTTTGTCTCCGAGGTTCGATTTGGAAGAAATCGTTCCCTTATATTTGTAACACTGTAGTTCATTTGTCAGTTAAAGCGTCTCTGTTACCTTAAACAAGTTGAGGCCAAAAATGAGCGGGCAACCACAATGAGGCGGATTAGTTTACAGTGTGTGTGTGTGTGTGTGTGTGTGTGCTAAGGACAGGATGAAAGAACCAGTCCCAGTTAAAAATGAGGCCCAAATTTCAAATCCATTTGACTTTTATGCATCTGAGTTTTTTGTGGGAACCTGAGCTCTTTCTTCTGCTCGAAAACTGCAGTGCACACCGCTCGTATTAAAGGTAGCCTACTAATGGAGAATAATGTCTGATTGAAAGTTGATAGTGGCGCTGGCATTGTCAGCACTTGTCTTTTAGTGTACAAATATGAATGTATAAATATCTGTGCAACTGGCATCTCTTTGATTTCGGGTCTTTTTAAAAAAAAAATAGAAGATTTGTTTTTGTTTTCTACCTCTGCAGATTTTAAATTCTGTGTTTGAAATTTAAAAATAAACTTTTAGCAGAGGTTAAATGTTTCCATCCCTGTGAATTAAAGGTCTTTTAAACATTTCAAACCATCCCGACTGCCTGGACCTGGAGCATTTATAACCATTTTTCCACCTTTTGTAAACTTTGAACAGAATCTTTGAGTCCACATTTGGGAAGCTCATCATGTAAGAAGCTGGAACCAGCAAATGTTTGACACGTTTGCTTGAAAAATCACTAAAATGATTCATTGATGACCAGAACTTTTGGAAATTCATCTTCTCGAGACGATGAATCAATGAAACTTTGGAGACTTTGGAGACAGATTCAGAATCCATCAGAAAAGATGATGAGCGGGATGATGGCAGAACACATAAAGAATCCTTTTTAACATCCATTAAATAAAAGCCTGTTAACAGTTCAGTTTGGTTCTGGTCCTGTTCACATATGGAGGAAGAAAACCTGAATGAAAATGAACACTTGTTTTTGCACACCTAACTCTCATGTGTGATTTTCTTTTTGCTCTCTTTAAATCTAGTTTTGCCTCTGAGCTTATAAAAATTAAAGTTGTAGGGGTGCCGGTAGCCTAATGGTTAGAGTGTGCGCTCCATGTACTGAGGCTTGATCCTCGAGGGCGGAGCAGCCCGGGTTCGAGTCCGACCTGTGACTCCTTTCCTGCACTCCTCCCACTCTCTCTTTCCTGCGTTTCTGACTCTATCCACCGTCCTGTCTCTAAAAAAAATACTACACATATGAGAGTAAGGTCCTGCTATTGAAGATAAGGTTAAAATAACAAGAATAAAGGGATTATTTCTAAACTTAGGGACAGGACTGGTGTGTTTATTATCAATAACCAAGTCAAACTTAATAAATCAAGTCTCAGTTTCCGTATCAGTGCCTGCAGGTTCATCTCTATTCACAGATCCTACATGAAAAAGGAGTATCGCTGCATGGAAAGGAAGTCTTGCTTGGAGGTCATTTAACACTAAACCGCTGGCTTTAGTAGAATGATCAGAAATTAACATCTGAACCAAGAGGTACAGTATTCGTCTATCTAATGGATTCTGAGTTTGGTGGCAGGTAAAAGAAAACAAATCAGAAAAGTTTTAAAAAGTTTTATAGAATTTTAAAATCAACATTTGGAAGAAAAATTCTAAATGTCATTCATAAAACTTCCTCATGTGATTTGGGTCTTTTCTGGATCTTCAACATTTTTGCACATTTTTTGATCTTGCCTTTTTGATGCAAATTTTTCTCCTCACATTTTTCTTTTCATGTCTGGCATTCAAACTGTCCCTTTATCATGATCCTCGTTTAAATAAAACCTCAGTGCAGATAATACATACCTTAGAGTTGCATTTATAAATGGGGTGTGTGATGGTCTCCACAAAGTGGTGCCTCATGCAGCGCTCTGGGTCTGAGTCTCCAAGGTGCGGGTGTGCGTTATCGCTCGCCTTGTTGCTGCTTGCGGACTGCACGAGGCCCAGCAGGGGGCAGCACATCAGGACAAGAAGCAGGCCGGAGGGGGGGCCCACGGAGAGCGACATGATGGAGACAACCCCGAGGCTCCAATCCCACAGGTGTGTCCAAAAATTTGTCCTTTTTTATTATCCTGTTATGTCTTTTATATTCAGCTCTTTCACCTCCGTTGTCTTTGAGCTCTTAGTCAGGGAGTTGTAGGGAGACTGGTTGTAGGAGGGTTTTTTCATAGGGACGCTCCATCCCCCACAGTCTGGGAAAAAAAAAGACAAACAGGAAGGCATGAGTGGGAAAATGAAGTGATAAAGACAATAAAAGAAACAATATTGTGCTTGTGGGCAGAGTGTTTTGTCTATTAGACATTTTCTTATCCAAGAGAGAGATCACACACGTCCCTGCAGACACATTCTCACAGACGTTTCTGCCAGTTTTCATGATTGACTGTTTGATGTGTGTTTCTCCAAACCTGGCTGCATACATTGTCTCATTTATTCCTTGATCGCCCCTGCACACCCACACACTGCACACACACACTGCACACACACACACACACACACACACACACACACACACACACACACACACGTCCCCACGCTTATATTACAGCGCAGAAACTTAAGCCATGCACAAACAGCCTCGGAGCCCTTTCCGCTCTGCAGGAACGACTTTTTCATTAAAACAAATCGCTCTCCCAACAAGCCCCTCTCTCGTGAGTCTGAACCCTCTGCCCGTCCCGCTGCACACGCTCTCCTGTTTTTATGTTGTTTTTTCTTTGTCCAACCTCCTACTTTTATTGTCCTCCTGATAATGGGCTGCGTGTTAAGAGGGCGAGGAGCAGGTTTGCTAACAGTCAATGTGTTGTGAATTAAAGAGAGGTGTGTTTACATGAGGGGTCGAGGAGTGAACGAGGCCTAAGAGTTATTTTATATGTGCACACACATGGATTTATGCTTGTGTGTTTAAACATTCTGTAAATGTCTGTCTTTGCAAGAGAATTCATAAATATAAACCAACACTTTGTAAAATTAAGGTTTATATGTTGAAATGTCAGGGTGTGTCAGGATTTATGGAAAATGCATGAACAGAAATGGATGTTGAGATGTTTAAGAAGTTTGTCTCGAGGACTTTGACTCATGGATTTCTTTGCAGCATGTTATCATGTATTCATTTAGTTTTTGGTCCTGTATGACTCATCAGGGATTTCTACGTTTTAAAGTGAAATCACTTTAAACCTCCACCACCATCCTGACCCTAAATAAATACTCCCTAAGATGTTTTGTTGGCCCGTCGAGCGTGTGCTGCAGGGTTTACACAGCAGGCGGCCCGGTGTTCTCAGAGCTGCGGCCGGTCTAATACAGCCAGCACCCATCAGCACCTCCAGCGCCACCAGCCGTCGCTGGATAAGTGTCACACCAAACATGTTCACCTCCATCTTTTAAGCTACCCATATGTGCGTAGTTGGTTTAACGTGTGAGCAGGTACAGGGGGAAAAAATCTGCTGTTAAACCCCCAGTTGACCCCCGAGAGCCCTTACCTACTACACCCTGCTGCTGCCTCCAAGATCTTATTAAATACAATTCATGCGGAGTGCACATGGCTATTATTGACTTCATTAGACTCCAACAAACCCAGAGAACAACCTGCACTCCTCTGATGGAATAAAAACTAATTGGCCACAGGTTTTCTGCATATCGGTTGAGTGTATGCGGCACAGTTTTAATTTGGATTATGCACCATGAGAGCTCATTACGATCCAAATAATTAAAACAACATTTTGGTTCAGGGCCTCTTTGAAAAATCAAGCCAAGGTAAACAGCTAATACTGCAAGAATTTTTGTGAAGCTGCAAAGAAAATCTGCAACTTCCTTTGTTTTGATGGCGTCGGAGAAGGAAGAAGGAGATTGGTAAAAAAAAAAAGAAAAATCCACTCTTCTCCTCACTTCCTGTCCAGCAGGGAAAGTAGGAGGCTAAATAGTGAACTAGGTGTAGAATTTAAAAGCCAAATTGTCGAAGAAGCAGAGTGGGATTTTCTGACACAAATTCACCAACTACCAAGGTGCATGAATAGTGAAAGGCTTGAAGAGGTCAAAACGCTACAGCAGCACTTTTAGTATGAAGATCGACTTTATTAACTAATTAGACTGACGTGTTTCGGTTTGTGGCCGTAATCAGGGTCATCTAAAGCGCCACAATTTTCGCCCCAGATTCAGATTCAGATTCTTTATTGTCCCACAAGGGGAAATTTGGAGCAGGAGCACACAGAAAACAAGAAACACAAGGACAACATCACCATAAAACATAAACCAAAACAAATTTAAAAACTCAGACATCCCATATAAAACATAATAAAACATCATAAAACATTGGAATAAAATCAGTCAAGAGCTCATACCAAAATGGGAATTCCTACCAAGTTATTAAAGAACAAAGTGGATGTGTGCAAATGTGCAATTCAAGTGCACAAAAGAGCAACAAATGGCTAATTGTTGTTTAATATATTAATTGCACTAGGAACAAATGAGACCTGGAGTCTTTTTGTCTTCCTAACAGGAGCTCTAAAACGACGACCTGAGGGTCAAAGGTCAAACTCACTGTGAAGTGGGTGATCTGAGTATATCAAGTATAGCTTTAGCTTTCCTCAGTACCTGCTGGTTATAAATGGTCAAAAGACCAACCTGACTCGTCCCCACTAGAGTTGGTGGACAAACTAAACAGAGCTTAAAGAGACTAAAATGGACATGAGCTTGTAAAGCGCTTTTCTAGTCTTCTGACTTCTCAAAGCGCTAACTAATCCATTCATACACTGCAATACAAAGCAGCAGGAGCAACTTGGGGTTAAGTGTCTTAAATACATAAATGCCAAAATATAAATGATTAATTTAACTGACTGGTAATTCTGCTGTCGACGATCAAGGGTGATAATGTTTAACCCGTTAGTCACCTAAACAAACACTGGCTGCCTAGTGATGATTGGTTTGGAAGTCATAAGCATTAAAAGATAACGCTTCAATCCATACTGTGGTTTAAAAAACTGTTTTGCCCTTGAAGATAATTGGTCCAACAAAAGCCACCCATAAGAAATAATTAGTGCATGTCCTCTTTGTCCAATAATTCAGTGAGAGGATTTCATGAAGTGAAATATATTGGATTAAAACCAATTACAAATATTACTTAACTGATGGTGACAGAAGAGAAACGTCTTTCTCATAAATCACAAGACTTCCCAACATGTGTTTCTCCTAAACAGACATCAGACTTGGCCCTACCAATGGAGCAAAACTAACAAAACCATCCACCTTGTAAACACAAGGACAAGCCAAATGTTGTCACTCTGGTCTACAGCCAGCTCGCTCCTCTCTGATTAATAATTATTTGAGCTGGCCAGACATCCCCGCAACATGAGCTCTTAATGTTCAGTAAAGAGATGATTTTCTATTGATTAACATCTGCTTGTTATGCAGGCGACGAAGGAAGTCCGACTCTAAGCGCAGTCGTATGCAAACAAGGACATTCCTCACTACAAGGTGACTACACATCTTAATTACTCTCTTCTGGTGACTCATGCCGACGCTTTGAAGCCAGCGTCAATACATCGCTACGATTGGCAGCTGGCTCAGATAACAGGGGCTTTTGGGATATTAAATGGAGATATCATCTGAGTGAGTGAGTTCATTACAGCTCTGTGAGTGTGTGATGCCTGGCTGCCTCTCTGCACTGGAGGTTGAGGCAAAAGAAACAAGTTCAGAAGGTTTGGGCAGGATGAGGGCAGCGTGGAGGACCTGAGTTTGATTTTTGGAGCTCTGGGTGCTCCCAAACAGCAGCTGGATCCCGTCCATCACCCTAACCCCCATCTCATCCAAGCTCGTTATAGACCACGTCTTTCCTGGATCTGCCGATTGGAAACCATTCCATCATCCACTAAAACTTCTCATTTAATCGCAAAAAAAACTAATCAAATCTATGTTCCAGCCTTCCTTCTCCATTGGTAACCAACCGCCTCCACTTTTTCTGCTTCCATGACTTTGTCCATCATCGACGAGACAGACCAATTATTTGAACCCGTCTGTTGTACGTCTTTGTTTGTCAGGGAGGAGTACTGGCTCACAACTCTCAATGTCACCTTGAGTGTTTACTGATTTCATTACAAAAAATGAAGGATGCATGAGGTATGTTGGCAGCGGAGCTCCACAAAGTAAAAGTCGATCATTTTGAATTACCCATGACGTTTCAGCCCAATTTAAGTAAACAACTTCACATGAGGACTATCGATGAGAGACTGCTGCCAGACTCCCTCCAGAACTACTCAAATAAGAAAGTCAAAGTTTCCATTTGGCAGGCGACGCCAATATCTGGAAGGCAAGGCCACCGTGTCTCTATTTATCTTAATATGTTCAAACATACTCAGATGAATGTTGGTTTGAGGAAAGTTATATAAAGTATGAACTGAGCGACGTAATGGTTCACATTTTAGATACAGCAAATCCAGGTTCTTAGTTTGGTCACCTTAATTAGCCTGTTGTGACATTATTGACAGCCATGCATATTCAGAACTCAAAGGCATGAGTTAGAAGTTGACCAACAACAGAAGACGTTACGATGAGGACGCCTGGAGAGTCTGGAAAATACAACCTACCAACAGATCCTGAATCTGCATGCACATAACAAAATGTTGGTGTCAGAAGCATTCTTGTTTTTGTTGGGTGTTGAATTAACCAATCAAAGACGTTTCACGCAGTCAAATAGTTGGTGTGGACAGCAAAAATAGGCTTAACACAGCTACAAAACTCAGTCCAGGAATTCATCAGCAACAACTGAGATTAGGGTATTTAAAGTTAACCAAAGGTACTTGAGCCCTAATGAAAGAATAAGCGTTTACATTTGTCATTAGCTCAAACTTCATTCTCTCTTCTCAAAGCACCTGTCGGACTCTAAACAGTACCCCAAATATCAGCCGTTAACCCAAAGCTAAATCAGTGTTGAATGAAAGCATCACATGTATGATTTTCTGGCTGCTTAGCTAACCTACTTAATTAAAATGCTAACGATAACTTGGACTGTGTAGCTGTAGTTTCTTTACAGGGTAGAAAACAACAAAGCTGAAAAGATACTGTTCACCAACCAAACCAAAAGAAAAGCCAATCATATGTCATGTGTTACTTGCCAAGATTAGAGAGGATTTAATTGTTCCCTGGGTTGGTGTAACACAACCTGGGAATATTTGCCCTGTACAATTTGCTGGTTTCAGAACAACAA